ATAGGTACATACATACATACATAGGTACATAGGTACATAGGTACATACATACATACATAGGTACATACATACATACGTACATAGGTACATACGTACATACGTACATACGTACATACGTACATACGTACATACGTACATACATACATACATACGTACGTACGTACGTACGTACATACATACATACATACATACATACATACATACATACATACATACATACATACATACATACATACATACATACATACATACATACATACATACATACATACATACATACATACATACATACATACATACATACATACATACATACATACATACATACATACATACATACATACATACATACATACATACATACATACATACATACATACATACATACATACATACATACATACATACATACATACATACATACATACATACATACATACATACATACATACATACATACATACATACATACATACATACATACATACATGCATGCATACATACATACATACATGCATACATACATACATGCATGCATACATACATACATGCATACATACATACATACATACATACATACATGCATACATACATACATACATACATACATACATACATACATACATACATACATACATACATACATACATACATACATACATACATACATACATACATACATACATACATACATACATACATACATACATACATACATACATACATACATACATACATACATACATACATACATACATACATACATACACACATACATGCATACATACCCCCTCTGTTAGCATCTTTGATGGGTCCAAAAATTTGCCGTAACACTGATTTTGAAAACCTGTATTAAGGCCTAATCTTTTTTATTTCTGCTTCAAGTTTTAGAGCCATATAAAACGACTGCTCTTATTGACGTTTTATATGTTTTGATCCTGGTGTTGCGAGACAGACACTTTGACTTTAGCAGATTTTGAAGGGAATAGTATACTTTATTTCTAGATTCTATTCTAGATTGTATTTATTCTCTCAGCATGTTGGAGCAGTTGAAGTTTGCACCCAAGTACTTTTATGTTTCCGTTGGTTTGATTTTCATATTATCGACTTGGATGAGGCCGGAGTTTATAATATTTTCATGTCTAGTTAGTATTCGTACAGAATAACTAGTAACTAAACTTAGAAATTGTCACTGACAGCTTAGTTAATGCATGAGAGCTGCATAAGCTTTCAACAAACCAATCATTCCATGTCATCAGTGTTGAGGCCGTGTATGCAGAAGCGGGTGTAAGGTAACTTCTATTCGTATTCGGTCTGACCGCGACTATTGGGCCCAATACCGAATAGTCAATAGGTCCACTATTCGGCCCCAAAGCGAATATTAGGTACAGCCCTACCTATAACTTAATCTTTTACATTCAGGAAACGCCGCATTAACTATAGATTTACCTTTTACATTCAGGAAACACGCATTAACTATAGATTTGCCTTTTACATTCAGGAAACGCTGCATTAACTATAGATTTACCTTTTACATTCAGGAAACACGCATTAACTATAGATTTACCTTTTACATTCATGAAACGCTGCATTAACTATAGATTTACCTTTTACTTTCAGGAAACACGCGTTAACTATAGATTTACCTTTTACATTCAGAAAACGCCGCATTTACTATGGCTTCACCTTTTACATTCAGGAAACGCCGCTTTCACTATGGCTTCACCTTTCACATTCAGGAAACGCCGCATTAACTATAGCTTCACCTCTTACATTCAGGAAACGCCGCATTAACTATAGCTTCACCTTTTACATTCAGGAAACGCCGCATTAACTATAGCTTCACCTTTTACATTCAGGAAACGCCGCTTTCACTATGGCTTCACCTTTCACATTCAAGAAACGCCGCATTAACTATAGCTTCACCTCTTACATTCAGGGAACGCCGCATTAACTAAAGCTTTATCTTGTACATTCAGGAAACGTCGCATTAATTATTTCTTCACCTTTTACATTCAGGAAACGTCGCATCAACTATAGCTTTACCTTTTTCATTCAGGAAATGTCGCATTAACTATAGCTTTACCTTTTACATTCAGGAAACGCCGCATTAACTATTTCGTCACCTTTTACATTCAGGAAACGTCGCATCAACTATAGCTTTACCTTTTACATTCAGGAAACGCCAGATTAACTATAGCTTTACCTTTTACATTCAGGAAACGCCACATTAACTATAGCTTTACCTTTTACATTCAGGAAACGCCACATTAACAATAGCTTTACCTTGTACATTCAGGAAACGCTGCATTACCTGTAGCTTTACCTTTTACATTCAGGAAACAAAAGTTGGCGATCACTGGGAGTTCGATTGCCAGCATGGACCAGATGAATGTCTTGGTGATATCATCGAAGTAAGTGCTTGATACATAAAAGGTTAGTTGCGTATCCTTTAGAGGATGTTGCAGAACCAACCCCAACACTGTTTGTTGTGTGGTTTTTCTAGGCAAATTTACGTCCAGTAGTTTGCCATTGCCTCTGGACGGTCGGCTTTTATGATACCACTGTCGAAACCAACGCAAGGCGCATGGCCTGCAGCTGGAATCGAACTCGGGACCCTGGCATTACGAAGCGTTCGCATCGACTTAGCCACAGAACCGACACTTGATACATAAAGTCATTGCTAAACGACAGCAGTAGAATGATCATTTGTTTCGTTTTCACTGGAACACTGCCGTTGTTTTCCCCTGGTGTGTACTGGCCCTCTCGTCGGTAGTACCAAAAAAACGTCAATTCTTCCGTTACAGAAAAATCCAAAAAGTAAGCTCGAGAGCTGAACATATCACTTATAGTTATATCTGTAGATGTTATTAGATTTCCTGATTTAAGATCTTATTAAATTTCATGATTTAAGATCTTATTAGATTTCCTGATTTAGGATCCTATTAGATTTCATGATTTAAGATCTTATTGGATTTCATGATTTAAGATCTTATTAGATTTCCTGATTTAAGATCTTATTAGATTACCTGATTGAAGATCTTATTACATTTCATGATTGAAGATATTAGATTTTCTGGTTCAAGATCTTATTAGATTTCCTGATTTAGACACTTTTATGTTCTAAAGTTCTTAAAATATATTAGTTCCTTTGATTAGTAATAATAATAACAATAATAATAATAAAAATAATAACAACAACAACAATAATAATATTAATAACAATAATAATTCATATAATTGTTTTGGCGAGGGGCGTGGGGAGGGGTGGTAAACTGAGTTGTTTGGGATGTCCCGTTTTCAGCTCAAGCTATTGTAATCACCCTAGACAAGAAGCCAGTTGAATGGGAATAAACGCACCGGTAAAGAGGGAGACATAGAGTGACTGAGAGAGGGAGAGAGAGATAAACAAAAGTGAGAATTTTACTGAAGGAAGTTAAGAAGAAAAATAAGAAGCTACCACTGCCTTCTCTTGGGATGGCCGGGCCACCTCATATGTTGCTAGCCAATAAACTGTATCCCAGGTTTTTGTTTTAGTTTTCTTATAATTTCTTAATTTTTAATTTTTTTTTTAAATCTAACTGGTTACACCAGCAGCTGTTCTAAAAGATCTAATCTTTGTAGTAACGATTTTGCTCTAATTGGTTTTAGTGACGATACATTAGGACCACAGAAAAGACCGTATTTAAGTTAAAATTTCATTTGCTTTCGTTTTTTGCAGACTTGTACCATTGCAATAGTGAAGACCCTTGCGAATTACATTCCGTTTATAAACTGTGTAGAGGGCTCGAAAGTTACACCTAAGGAGGCGGCCGAAAAGGTTAGTTAGTGTCATGGCGCCTATATTCTTTTTCTATTTCTCTGTCTTCCTATCACTCTCTTGTCTTTCTCTTTCTTTCTCTCTCCCTCTCGCTATTGGTCTCTTTCTCTCTTTGTTTTCTTTTTCTCCCTCTTTCTCTCTTTCTCTCTCTCTCTCTCTCTCTCTCTCTCTCTGCCTTTTTCTCTCTCCCTCTCGCTATCGGTCTCTTTCTCTCTTTGTTTTCTTTTTCTCCCCCTCTATCGCTTTCTCTCTCTTTTTTTTCTCTCTCTTTCTCTCTCTCTCTCGCTATCGGGCTCTTTCTCCCTTTTTGTCTCTTTCTCCCTCCCTCTCTCTCTCTTTCTGCCTCTCCCTTACCCTAGCTGTGCTTTTAGAGGTTGATGTTTGTGACGTGGCGTAATCAAATCAGCAATGGTGAGTTGAAATGAGTTGAGTTGAGTTGAGTCAATAATTGCCATCATAGCACTCGGGGCATTCCCATGCGTACTCCGATTTTTATTGCTTGGAGAGAATGAGGCACCTGGGTGTAACCAGAGAGTCTGGCCGGCTCACTACACTCAGAGGAAAGGCAAGACGGACATAAAATCAGATTTTGACCGGTACCATTAGTATTAGAACTCTGCACTGGCTGCTAAAGGTGAGGACACAGCGCGCATGGGAATGCCCAGAGTGCTGTGATGTCAATTCTTGTCTCAGCTCAACTGAACTCAACTCTACTTAACTCTCTCCTAGGATTGCAGTCTGTGAGAATAACACCACACAAGACACTCTCTCACACACACAAGACACACACTCTCTCTCTCTCTCTCTCTCTCTCTCTCTCTCACACACACACACACACACACACACACACACATCGTGATTGTAACTAACACAGGGAACCGCGTTATCGCAGTCGACAGGAAATTCGCTTTCAAATCCAGCTGCAACTTGCTGCAGTCCACGGCCGGTGTTCGAAACTGGGCGGTTCCCGGGGTTCACCTAGCCTCTAGGCAATGGGTACCAGAGTTAAGACTCTGTGGTAAATGGAGGAACGTCGCTGTAGCTACGGAGTTGCGTGCGGACGGCGACACAGGCGGACAGTTTCATATCAGCTGTCCGTACTGGTGGCAGAGCGCGTATAGTTTATAACCGTGTGCAATGACGCCCGTTCACATCTCCAAACGTTACCTTTTTTACTAACACAGAAAGCATGGTGAGAAAGGTGAGGATAGGCATGGTTCATGCAGAGTTGCAAAGCTTCGCTTTTGACGTTACGGGTGTGAAGCATTACCCGGAAATTTTCTCTGGATATGCCGGTGTGGTGGGAAATGAACAGACTGACAGACTGGCCCTCTCTGCAAAACTTGGTGTAATACTGATGCGTAGGTCAGACGTGTTTAAGGCCCTGTTTGAGAATGTGTACAGTTCGGAGGAGCAAATGGATCACCACAGTTTGGTGAGAGTGATGCAGCGGGAAGTGACTAGGGGATCTGGCCGATACATGACGCTCAGAGGAAATCTTGGTCTGACTGACTGACTTTCTACCCCACCAGGACATCACACAAGCGATAAACACCCGATGACACAAAGTGCCACTATGTGGATCGCCATGGAGAGGTCCCAGAAACTGCGTTCAGACAATTGGCCATATTTATGGCCTGTCTATATTGCGGCCCCTGGCAAAAGCCAGGGTGGGGCTTCAATAAACAAAAATTTTCATCCTAAATAGGACGAAACCGGGTATTACGACAATCTCAGCAGTGGGTTGCTTCTTATGAAATCTTGGTAATCTTAGTTCAGCTTCATAGCAAACGAGTCACCCCATAGTGGCTCCGCTCCTGTGCCAACGAAAAACACACAGCATGTTCGTCGCAGTCCCTTGTGGAAAGATTGACAGACTGCTGTCTCAGCATATGCACTAGCATACACACGCATTAAAAACATACGGTAGCTATCAGAAGTGCTAACACAAACAGTTTGACATTATAAATGCAGTTCATCATCGACGGTAGCAGAAGATCTAGGAGGAAAGGCAAGACGGACGTATAATCAGAATTCTACTGGCCCCATTGTTTTGGGAACTCTGTGATGTCTGCTGAAGATGAAGACGGAGCGCTTGTGAGTGCTGTGATGTCGGTTCTCAACTCAACTCATATGTGAATCAAAAGATGCCGCATCCGCTAAAAGTGGTAATTATGTGACACCAGATTCAACAAATATACTGCTGTGTATATTTGTTTTTGTTTCTGTCTAGTTATCCGATGGTTAGAAAAAAAAAGTAAAAAAAAAAAAAATAAAGGTAAAGGATCCTTTTCCACGCCTTTAGGCATATAGGGCATATAGGGCTAGACCTACATTTTTATAAACCAATCGGCACAAGATGGTTGATGTGGTCAGCATCACGCCGGCCGCTTTTACTTACCGGGACTGCACCCGGTACCCACTCAAGGCAGGGTCGACCTGGGAGCCAAGGTCATTTTACTGTCCAGTGGGTCGCGAAGCAATTTCATCTGTTTGAGTTGGAAAAGCTTGAGGCCCACTGTTCTGTGACACTAAAATACTCTAGTCGAAGTCGCCGACAAGACATGAGCCAGGACTATGTAACTCCCACATCACCAGAATGGTTAACGAAGAATGAGAACAATTGTACTGTATATGCGCGTGTATAGACAGCAGTATCGCTGGTGACAAATAGGGTACGGGTTATATTTCTACCGAGTAGCCGTGGTGTAGAGGCTTGATGCTCGTCTGTTTAGACACAGGATATCAAGAACACCCTGAACCAGGAATGCTGTAGACACAGGGTATCAAGAACACCCTGAACCAGGAATGCTGAAGACACAGGATATCAAGAACACTCTGAACCAGGAATGCTGTAGACACAGGATATCAAGAACACCCTGAACCAGGAATGCTGAAGACACAGGATATCAAGAACACCCTGAACCAGGAATGCTGAAGACACAGGGTATCAAGAACACCCTGAACCAGGAATGCTGAAGACACAGGGTATCAAGAACACCCTGAACCAGGAATGCTGAAGACACAGGATATCAAGAACACCCTGAACCAGGAATGCTGAAGACACAGGATATCAAGAACACCCTGAACAAGGAATGCTGAAGACACAGGGTATCAAGAATACCCTGAACCAGGATGGCTGTAGACACGGGATATCAAGAACACCCTGAACCAGGATGGCTGAAGACACAGGATATCAAGAACACTCTGAACCAGGAATGCTGTAGACACGGGATATCAAGAACACACTGAACCAGGATGGCTGAAGACACGGGATATCAAGAACACCCTGAACCAGGAATGCTGAAGACACAGGGTATCAAGAACACCCTGAACCAGGATGGCTGAAGACACAGGGTATCAAAAACACCTTGAACCAGCATAGCTGTAGACACAAAATATCAAGAACACCTTGAACCATCATAGCTGTAGACACAGGATATCAACAACACCCTGAACCAGCACGACTGTTGACACAGGATATCAAGAACACCATGAGATACCAATTTTATGAGAACATCCATAATACAGATCTGGCTTATTATCAAGCAGGATGTTTGTTCCTCGTCTCTCAGACATATGCCCCCCCCCCCCACAATGAAACGCCTCTAATTAGTTTACTCTTACGACATGATTGTTAAGGGGGCAATGGGTCTATTCCCCTCCCCTCACCCCCAAATGAGGCTCCGAAACCCACAAGGAGAAGATGGGTGTGTGAAAGGGCCGAATGTAAGACGACCTACGTGTCCAGTTTGTGACTCTCTGGAAATAAAATTTGTTCGTAAAAATTGTAAAAATTTATCTCGGTACGAAACAGATTTAAACGGAAAACGAACCTGGAACGCTAAAGGACTTTTGAGATTTGGAACATACACAAGGAAGATGAATGGTCGTAGACCACGAGGCAGACCAAGAAGGATATGGAGAGATATGTCACCAACCGGAAAGAAAAGGCCAACCAGAGAGATGAATGGAGGCGGGTGATATCTGCAGCAGTGAACCTCTAGGGCTCGGAATGCTAAAGAAGAAGTTCTTTTAATATTACTGGATCAATCTTTCCGTTGTTATTTCAGTGTGCTCCGCAGTTCTCGATACCACTAGATCAAGTTCTCAATTGCACCACTTCCGACTATGGCAACCAGTTGCAGCATCAAATGGCTGTGCTAACCGACTCGCTTGTTCCACAACATAACTATGTCCCCTGGATCACATTGAATGGGGTAAGAATCTGCATTATGTTCCCAGTTAGAATGAGTGCGTCTTTGTCGTTTATCTATCTGTCCGTCCGTCCGTCCGTCCATGATCTATCTATCTATCTATCTATCTATCTATCTATCTATCTATCTATCTATCTATCTATCTATCTATCTATCTATCTATCTATCTATCTATCTATCTATCTATCTATCTATCTATCTATCTATCTATCTATCTATCTATCTATCTATCTATCTATCTATCTATCTATCTATCTATCTATCTATCTATCTATCTATCTATCTATCTATCTATCTATCTATCTATCTATCTATCTATCTATCTATCTATCTATCTAATCTATCTATCTATCTATCTATCTATCTATCTATCTATCTATCTATCTATCTATCTATCTATCTATCTATCTAATCTGTCTGTCTGTCTGTCCACCTACCTACCTACCCACCTACCTACTTACCTACCTATCTATCTATCTGTCTGTTCGTCTGTCTGTCTTTCTGACTGTCTTTCTGTCTGTCGGTCCGTCCGTCCGTCCATCTCGACACAGGTTTTAGCAAACAAACGACAATCATTTGTTTGATATTTTCAGCTTCACACAGATGACATTGAAGAGAAAGCAACAACAAATCTGCTGAAGCTGGTGTGTGATACATACCCCGTAAGTCCAGATTTTCTTCTTCTGCATTAGCTCTTTCAAAGGCGGTTGTCACGCTGCTTTGTGGTTTACAGATAGGTTGCGATATTTGCGCCTTTCGACCAGACACTTCAGCAAAACTAGTTAATCGCCTTTCATAACATACTGGTTAGGGTTTCACCAGCAACAGGGTCGCCAGTTGGTTGGCCGGTAGACGACTTCGTCACTGGTCTGGATAGTATTTGGGTCTGTCTCCTTTTATCCAATCAACACTGCAGGAGTCTTTTTCAGGGCTCTTGGTGGCCTACAGTGCTAAGCAATTTTATACGGCACATATAAACAAGTCACAATTATAACCTAAAGCTCCTCCTTCAAGGGCGCTGGTTGAACGTGACGATATTTTTTTTTCTAGCTGGGGTTTTATAATTGTGTCGGCGCCTGTGGCTTAGATGTTGCGAACGCGTTTCGTAGTGAAGAAGGGCCGGGTTCGATCTCCCTTGCAGGCGATTATGCAACAAAACGTCTTAGATTAGTTTCGACAGTGGTACCGAGAGCTGTCCATTCTGAAAGCAGTGGCAAACTACTGAAGGCAGAATTTACATTAAAAAAGCCATAACAACGACGAAAAACAAAAATGTGCTAGGGTTGGGTTCTGCAACGTCCTACAAAGGATGCACAACTAAGTCTCAGTCTTAATCAAGGTTTCAACATTACTTTAATCGTCCATACTTGCTCCGTTTCCGTGCCAGTAAAAATCAAATTAGTGAACAAACAATTGTCCACGCACAAGCCAGAAATATGCGCACGCAATAACTGGCAGTTTCTAGAGGCGATAAAGCCAACAATCGCCACCAGAAACACACAGTTTGGCATTGAGGTAAGTACTTGATCACAAAGGTGGCTATACGCACATAAAATTATTACATAAGGTATTTCACCAGCCCACACGTAATATGCTTTAGTACGTGGGTACCCTTATAACATCAGATATAAAATGTATTAAGGAAGTTAAATGTCGAATAACTCAAGCAAATGCAGCATTTTATAAAATGAAGAATATTATATGCAGTCTTTCTTTGTGAATTGAGATGAGAAAGATAATTCTTAAAAGCTATATAAATCCTATACTGATATACGGAAGTAAATCATGGACAGTTAGTAAATTAAGGAAAACTTATTTGGAAGCTACGGAGATGTGGTTTTATAGACGAATGGTAAGAATACCCTGGACAGATAAAAAAGAGAAATGAGGACGTCTGGAAAGAAACTGACTCATGAAGAAAACTGACTGCCTACATCAGAAAGAGACAATCTACATTCTTTGGTCATGTGATGAGAAGAAGAAAAGTGGAGAACATCGTGACAGTAGGAAAGCTGGAACAGAGGAGAGGCAGCGGGACACCGAGAGAACAGATGCTGAACAGTTTGACATCATGGCATGGAGGATCATGTGTGTCAGAGTTGATTGAAAGTACCAGAGACAGAAGGTTGTGGATAGACATGACAACCAACGTCACTCGGCATGGACTATGGAAGACCATTTGGGTCAAAGTTGACTGAAAGTACACGAGACAGACGGTTGTGGATAGACACGACAACCAACGCCACACAGCATGGACTTTAAGAGCACACGTAAACCGACTACCGGTCATACTGAATACCACGACGCAACCGCTGCACAAATAAAGACATTCCACTTAAGAAAAAGAAAAAAAAAGCTCACATGGCTGCACCAAGCACTAACCGCAACTAAGTTTTTGTAAGGGGAAACGTCTATTCTCCCTGCAAAGAGAGCCTCATGAACCACACATGGATGTCTATAAGTCATAACAAAGGAACTGTTTCGCGACATTGGCGCATAGGGCGACGTGAACGTCTTTGAGTGAGTGAGTGACAGTCACCACCACCAGATCCGCACAGCAAGAGACAAACACCAGGTGACACAAAGTGCCACCATTCGGATGAGAATTACCCGGGCACAAGTTCCAGAGACCCTGTTTTACAACCGCCGGGTGGGGTTTTAAAAAAAATGTGTCCCGTATTGGGGCCGAGTTAGTCTATGAGATGTGTGTAGTACTGTAGTGCCTATAAAACGGTCCAGTCAGTAAGCTATTTATAAAGCTCAATGTTCTTCTATGTTTTTCTTTACACACACACACACACACACACACACACACACACACACACACACACACACACACACACCATTCCTCTTTTTATATTTCGTTTTGTTTTAACTTTTCCTGTCCTTACTTTTTCCTGGTGTTGTTATTGTTGTTAGTTAATTGACATTCCCAAAGAAATTGTGTATGTTGACAACGACCTTGGTCGAAACGTCCCAGTGTACTGGTTAATATTTGCATTTGGTGTGTGTGTGTGTGTAGGAAGGAACTAGCACATGGTGAATCGCTTAGTTAAAGACGATTGTGAATTCAGACCTTTGCTTTGCAGTATAAGACTCCCCCCCCCCCCCCAATCCAAAAAGGAGGGGGGAAAGGGGGGGGGGGAGGGGTCCTTGGATAGATCTGTGACATGACTGATTTTCTTCTGCTTAAACTCCGACGGAAGATTCTGATTGTTCGTCCACTTCAGGACTTCTCTGTCGTTCCAGAACCTGAGTTTCTCGTGCACATCCATTTTACAGATCTAACTTTTTAATGCAGACTGTTGCTTCGTGGCCTCTCGGACAGATGCCTTCCACTTCGAAGGAAACACCCCTGTTTAGTCGGGATTTACAATAGGCCTGTTTGGGAAACAGGGGGACTGTTTCCTCTCCTCAAAATTGGGTCTTGGAACCGACAAATGTTTAGGATATAATGATTTGTAGCACCTGCGTGCAAACGAAAGAGATACGATGTTGCTTGTGTTGTCAATATTAACGCCACGTGTACGCTGAGGTTAGGTTCACGTAAATCTCCCCAAAGAACGTAGGTCACTTTTCATTCACAGTTTGTTGGGCTGGTCGACTTTCCTGAAACTTACATGTGTGTCCCCCTCTATTGTTTGCTTTCTGTGTTGTCTTGCATTTAAGTTTTCATTCCGAGAAAGAGAATGCCTGTGACATAGGTATTCTCTAGAGGGTTGTGTAAGGGCCAGTTTCTCCAGGTGTTTGGAGTGTTAAAAGCACTGGCGTGCTGAAATATACAACATGCGATATCAACGGCATTGCGAAACACCCCCCGTAATATTGTGCCAAGGTGACAGGTTCAGGAAGTACCAATCAGAAGTGAGCTTGTGTGTATATGGGCGGGGCGTGGGGAGAATAATGTTACGTGTACCGTATGATTATACACGTTACTTTATGACGTGAATGGGTGGGGAGGGGGGGGGGGTGGAGAAGAAAAAAAAAAGGGGGGGGGGGGTTAGGGTGACCTTGATGGAAACTTTCGGCCGTGTTTGTGAGCCTCGCTTCCAATCCCTCTGTTGAGCTTTCTAGTCATATTTTGTGTTATATTTATAGCACGTTATATGACTCGGGGCTATTCAGTTAAAAGTTTATCCGTGGGAAAGGACACAGTTTGGTAACCGGGACTCCACGGGCCAGAATCCCAAGCCCATGCCTATTTAGATCAATAATACAATACAATACAACTTTCAGTGATCCGCGGGCCACTAGCTGGGCCTCTATGGGCCAGATTTGGCCCGCGTGCCGCCAGTTTAATAGCTCTGCACTATGTTATCAAAATCGACGTCATTGCACATTGACATTCCCTTTGCGTGATCAGTCCTCCGCTGCAGCAGCTATCCCAAAGTGTGATTGTAAATGATTACATCTGTTAATATTTTACTAATGTATTTTTCTCCTAGGGCGAGAAACCCCCGGCATGCAACAGTGGGTAGTGACTCTTGCACTTAACGCTGACCCGTGTGAACAGAAAAAGCACAAGTGATTTTCCTGTCAACATAAATCTTCAAGGATTCTTCACACTTATATCACACGCACGCGCTTAAAAGCAAACACACAACACGTACACACATATACACACACTCAAATATGTTTACACACACACACACACACACACACACACACACATATATATATATATATATATATATATATATATATATATATATATATATATATATATATATAATATTAACTGGAATTGTATTATTTCTTTTAAAACTCTGATCATATTTAACCAGAACATACAATCTAATGTTTCTTATTTATTCAAGTCCTACGTAGTCACTTCATATTTAGTGCATATTTGTGTATGTGTGATGTGTTGTTCTTTATGTGCCGATGAAGGCTAATCGCTGCAACGTCCTATGTTTGTTCATTGTGATCTATTTGGTTAAGTTGACAAAACTATTTGTTCTTGCTAGCCCCCTTTTCTTCCCTTCAATATAATTTTCTACCCTTTTAAAAAAACTTCTCAAGTGGATGAGAACATACCATTTTATAGGGACGTCAGGAAATCTTTGGAAGAAGTGCGAGACCGAGAGAGATCAAAGAGACATTCAACAGTTTGGAAATATGACAGATGAAAACAAAAGTATCAGAAATCATTAGTGGTACACGAGGCAGGTCAGCGTCTGTTGTTTAGGCATTGCTAACGCGCGTCGTAATGCCGGAGTGCTGGGGTCGATCTCAGCTGTAGGCAGTTTGACAGCAGACCATGTTGCATTGTTTTCGAAAGTGGCATAAATAGCAAACTGTTTAGTAGAGCAGCTCTCAAACTCCCTAATGCAGCGACCCTTATCGTTCACAGCGTTGGGTCAGTGAATGTGTGTTTTCCGATAGTCTTTGGCGACCCCTGTAAAAGGGTCGTTCGACCCACAAAAGGGTTACGACCCACAGGTTGAGAGCCACTGGTTTGGTGGCAATGGCAAGCTAATGAATGTAACAAGGTTAGTTACGTATCATTTACAGGACGTTGCAGAACCAACCCTAACAGCGCCTGGCTGTTGTGTGGTTTCTCTAGGCAAATTTACGTCCAGTAGTTTGCCATTGCTTTCTGGACGCTGGCTTTCTTGATACCACTGTCGAAACCATCCAAGGTGCGTGGCCCGCAGCTGGGATCGAACCCAGCATCCCGGCATTACGAAGCGTTCGCATCGACTTAGCCACAGAGCCGACAATGAATGCGCCTAAAATGCCCACAACAGCACGAGACCGAAAGCTGTGTCCAGACTTAACGACTAACCTCAGGCAGAATGAACTAAACAGAAAAAAAAAAAAAAAACACTATTAGACTTCGAAAGCTTAATTACACATAAGTTTAATTCATGCAATGTAAAGTTCGGTAACTGTTTGAAGCAATTTTAAATAGGGCAATTTTCTTGTCTGTTTTTGGGTGTTTTACTATGCCTGACTAAACATAACATATACAAAAAGTTAGTTGCGTGAATCCTGTACAGGACATTGCAGAACCAACTCCAGCGTTTTTTTTTTTTAAATTATTGTACTTGTTTTTTTTTTTTGGGGGGGGGGGGGGGGGGGGGGGGGGGGCTGTTGTGGTTTTTTAAAACAAATTTACGTTTAGTTGTTTGCCATTGCTTACTGAACGGTCGACTGTTGAACCACTGTCTAAATCAACGCAAGACGGTCAACATTTACAAGAATTATTTGGCTTGACTTGTTTTGCGAATAAAAATTGTAACGTTCAGCCAGCATCCTCGAAAGGGGAAAGCTTTAGGTTATAATTGTGACTAGGTTACAAGCGCCATGTGAAATGGCCTATCATTGCTAGCCACCAAGTAGCTCTTGCAGTCTTGATGCAATCAAAGGAGACAGAGCCAGATACTGTCCCGACCAGCGACGAAGTCGTCTACCAGCCAGCCAATGGGCGACCGGGTCGTCGATGCTTTTATTGGTATTGCAAGAGTTAACTTTGCCACGTAGACCCCAAATTCTGGTTCTGAAAGAGTCAAGTGGCCACTATCACTTGTGTGCCCCAACGAACTCGACAGTCTATATTTAACTGTTGTCCAGTAAATCACACACGTTTAGCGTTCTCATTCGAGCTTCAAATATCTCGCGTCGTCCTCGGGCACAAGTGGTTGACCCATTAAACTGTGTGTCTAAGAATTCGGAAGTCAAGAGTGTAATGAGTAATATGCACTAGACCTCTAGTTCGGGGAACTAATCGAGATATTGAAATACGAAACAAAAAGCAAGAGCTTTCAACGCACTAGGGAATTTGTGAAAGTCAAAAATAAATTAAAACTAATCCTAAACTAAAAATTGTTAATTCTAATGTAAAATCAGAAATGTTGTATGGAGCAGAAAAATGGATAACCATGAAGGCAATTATTAATAAACTACTGTGGCAGAACGCCAAAGACCGCTGTTCAGCAGTTCGACTTAAAAATGCGAAGAAACCTTGCCACTGTGTATAAAAAGCCTAACGCACCCAGAGCCGGGCGCATTTTGGCTTCCGGAATGAACCTGCTGTTGCTCAGAGGCAGGAGAACCACCCTGCTGTTGTGGCTTCGCACATTGGGCTAAACAGAGTGGATACGGGGAAATGACCGGTTGCCTGGCTGATTTCATGGTGGTGGTATGTTTCCAAAGTTGGACCTAAATTTGTCTCTAGTATTCAAACTGTGTGGGTAGATATATCAGTGTGTATCCTAGCTCGGAGATAGTCTAGTTGCAGGTCGCTATAGGCGATTTACTGGTCTGGTGACGTAATGAAACTTAACGTACATGTTAATATGTTTCGTTTTTTTTTAATCAAATGTCCTTGTTAGCTGGAGATGATTAGCACTTTAGAGGTTGTTGTCGAGCAGGTTGGTTGTTGTTAATGTATTAATTGTGAAGTATACTTTAATATTGTTTACAGTTCAGTAAAATAAACATCTGTTTTATGTGATGATTATGATTCATTTGCTTGATTCGATTTAAGATCTGAAGTCCGTGCACGGTGTTCGTCAAGGTGTGTGTAGCCATCTTGTGCGTTAGTGTGTAACATAGAGGTGCTCAGATATCCCTAGTCTGGGTTTTGGTGGAATATTCTAGGACCCCTGCAGAGAAGAACGCCTTGTCTTTTCTTTACTTTTCCTGTTTTTGCTGTTCAGCAGGAAACTATTACTTTTTTCCTAATCACAATTTTCCTTAAACTCTTACTTTCCGGGTTTTTCCTTTTCTTTTTCTTTTCCGCTAGCACACTAAACACATTCATTAACTGGTGTCTGCGCAAAAAAAAAAAAAAAAGGGAATTTACTGGTATGATAAGATCACTAATGTAGAGCTTTTGAATAGAACTAAACAAGTTCCATTGGACCAAATGGTGAAGAAAAGACGCTGGCGTTGGATAGGACACACGCTGAGAAAATCTGATAACAGTATAACTAGAATATCTTTGCACTGGAACCAACAGAGACAGAAGTAAAGGAAGAACACACAAAATACACACTCATTGAGGATGGAGCTAGAGAGTGAAGCTAAAAAGAATGGGAGGAGGGAAAGGGGGAAGAGACATGGGGAGAACTGCAAGATGTAGCGAAGGATAGGATGACTTGGCGTGAGTTGGTTGAGGGCCTATGCTCCATATCCGGTTGGAAAGGCAGAAGAAGATGAAGACTCTGGTGTCAGTGAATGATTGTGTGAAGAGGGAAAACTATCTTCTGCGGTCGCCCTTAAAATGGCGGTTGACATGTTGTCCTTTGGCATTTAGGCTGCGTTATCTGCGCTTTTCGGGCGACACATCCGATTTCGGTAAACTCTTGATTAGTGGTCTTTTACGACATGCTTCTTAAGGGGTGTTATGGTTGTGTCTAAATAATAGACCAAATCCCCTTGACATGCATGTCTCGACCTTTGGATATTTTCTCCATGTTTCTCCCGGGGGTAGGCAGAAAAGCCACATTTCTCCCAGATTGTACGGTATTTACAATGGAATCAAGGCCGAAAGGTTGCGATATCCATAATACCGAGCCTAAGGGTTAACAACTCATGGCTTCTGGGTACTAAAACAAACAAACAAACATAAAGTGAAGGGTCACAGATCATCACAGGATGACGAGAATCCGGCAGTGGCGAGTAACCAAGGGGGTCTGGCTGACATTCGACACTCAGGTAGAAAGGCGAGATGGACATGCAGACTGCTACTACTGGAAATGGAACTCTACGATTGCTGCCGAGGATGAGGACGGAGCGAGCATTAGAATGTCCTGAATGCTGTAATGTCGGTTCTTGACTTAACTCAGATGGGTATATGGTGCCAGTCCCATATTTCTCCAGACACTCTTCTTCTTCTGCATTGTTCACCGGCTGTAAGCTTCACCGGAAAGTGCTTGTTGTTGGTCCTTTTGGACTTTGGCTTCGTACCAGGGTCTGAGTTTTGCGTGTACATCCGTTTTACTGGCTTTTTTGTGTGTGGGCAGTTGGTTGAACCTTGCTGCTCGGGCTGATGCACTCCGACGTAGAAAGATGTCTCCAATTAGTCGGCTCTTACGACATGCTTATAGGGGAGGCAGTGAGTCGCGGAATCCAAACGAGGAAACTGACATTCAACGGTAGATGGGTAGTGGCAAGATGGTAGCAAAGAAATATTGTGTAGAGATACAAGCCAGAACATAAATAGATTATTATTTTATTTGGAGAAAGTGGTTAAAGTAACGCTTATCTACCCACACCTCGCCCATATACACACTAGCTCACTTCTTATTAGTTGTTCCTGAGCCTGTCACTTTGGCACAAGGTTACGGGGGTGTTTCACAATGCCGTCGATATCGCATGTTGTAATTTCAGCACGCCAGCGCTTTTAACGCTCCAATAACATTGAGAAACTGGCCCTAACACAACACCCCTAGAAAGTGCTGCAACCTATGTCACAGGCATTCTCTTTCTCGGAATGAAAACGTAAATGCAAGACACAATAAAAAGCAAACAATAGAGTGGGGCACACCTGTAACCTTCAGGAAAGTCGACCAGCCCAACAAACTTGTGAATGAAAAGTGACTTAATTTGTTAGGGGAGATTTACGTGAACGTAACCAAGAAAGTAATAGGCCGTATAATTATGGACTTCTGTCAGGAAAGTTAGTAAAATAAAAGTGGTTCAACATCATTATGGCCCTGCGGAGAAGTGTAAGCAGTCATGTTTAACCAACACACACGATCACCAGAATCATGAATCAGGTGTGTGCTCTTGCTGCGTCCAATCCATCCAGGTATTTGTCTGTCTTCCGGTGCCCCCCCCCACCCCCCGCATCAATCTTGCAACCAAGTTCTTGAATCAATTCCTACACATAATTAATTTGATTTTGATATCTCCTGATCAATTTACGGAGAATGAGAGACAGACAGAAACAAAGAAAGAGAGGGGGAGAGAGAAAGAGGGGGAGAGAGAAAGAGAGAGAGAGAGATTATGAGGATGCAAAACACATAAAGCAAACATAAGCATAGTTGGATCGAGACAAGGGAGAGAAAGGGAAATACAGAGACAAAATGAAAATAAATAAATTAAAGGGAACTGTCTTGTTTGTTTGTCTATCACTATAATATTAAATGCAATTTTCTTTTTAAAAAATCTACTATGAGTAAAGGTTAAAGACAGCAAGTGAAATGGTTTGCCCACTTAGAGAGAATGCCTTGTGACACCATACCATACAAAGCATACATGGGAAGAGAAGAAGGACGTAGAGCACGGGGTAGACCAAAAACAAGATGGAAGGATAACATCAGAGAAACTCTACAACAGCACGATCTGCCTATGGTCGAGGCAGCCAGAAGAGCTAGAAACAGAACCTTATATCTCCCTCGACACCCACAGCGGTAAGAGGAAGTGAAGAAGAAGAAGAGTAAAGGTTTGTCCACATATGAAAACACAGGTTCTGTATACTGGCATTCTACGTGTAGAGTAGCCTGCATCGCTTGAAGCAACTCTCTTGTCAGATGTATGTAAGCTGAATGGGCAGGGTTTTCTTGCAAAGTAGAAGGGACAATGTTTAAAAACAAAGCTTTGCATATAACATCGCAACATCCAGTATGAGAATGGAGGTAGAGGCAGTAACAGCAACTCAGATTTATGATGACTTGACAGCAGTACAGCCCAGTCTGGCATGTTATATTTAATTGTAATTGGTTACTGCCGCTTCTCTGGGCGATGAGTTTATTTATGATAAGGGGACACAGTGTGGGCTCTTTGGGATCAAATGGGCAGTGCAACAGAAGAGATAGTGAATCCATACTTTGAAGGACTAAACCTTGAGAGGCTGGTGGTGGTGTGGGGGGGGGGGGGGGGAATCTGAAAGATAGGTGCTTTATTAATCCATAGGTCACGGACAGTCAAATATTTCAGGAGGTGGTAGATAGGCTACATGCAGTCGTGAGACCTAGGCTGCACTGTCTCATTGGATGTAGGTGGGTTGGTGTTAGGGCCAGTTCTATATGTTTTAGGGTCATCAAAAGTAACTGTACCATGGGCAGAAAAGCAGCAGACCGGCAGCAATGGAAAAATCACCTGTGAATGCCTTATGTATCAACAGCAACATGAAAGGGATATAAAAAAGTATCACAAAGCTGCGAAACCCAGTCTTACCACCCTCTGGACTGTCCTGTGACATCATCTGGTGTGGGATATTAATAAAGAACCAAAGGATATTCAACAAACAGGGAGAAACTTTGGCAGACTTTTAACCAGATTGCAACTAGTACTACTATACTTCACTGGCTGCTAAGGAAGGAAATGGAGCCTGTGTGGGTATGTCCCAAGTGCAGCTATGCCAATTCTTGATTCATTCATTCATGTTCTGTATAGCATTCTGAAACTTCTCACAGCAGTTGACATTTGAAGTCCAGCTAAACCCTATAAAATGTTATCAGGCTATAAGTGGAGGTTCCAACCTCATCGCAACGGGTAACACCATAATTTCTCCATTCCTGAGTCAGTAAAAAACATACAAAATCCCCATCGCAGTTCTATGTGAACAGTCAAACAGTCAGAAAAAGCCAACAACTCACACATGCATTAAATGCATAAGGCGGTTGCCAGAGATGCCAACTCTTACATTCTGTCACTAGAAATGCTAGTTGATGGAAGCAGCAGTCATAACAAACCAGTAGGTACACACTATTTCTGTGGCAACCAGCCCCTCGCTATTTTATGGATATGCAGTTTACAAATCACATCTCTGAATACACACAATAAGCATTTATAATGAAATTCACACAGACATGCTGTAAATTATAGGTGAGGCTCTATCTTACTCAAACGGTAATGAGCTGACTGTCCCAGCTTTACCTGTACAACATTAGTCAGTCAGTCAAAACAACACAGAGATCACAATGAAAACAATCTGGTTTAATTAGTTTGCGCTAGTACAAGCAGTAAAAAAAAAAACATGGCAAGACAATTACCTTTGCAATGTATATGAAACCATTATTGAAAGAAAAAAAAATTTGTTCATGGAATTCAGGGTTCATTTCAGTTATCACAGTCAACTCTACATACAATGCACTGATGGTCACCCCAAATCACAGATAAAGATGCAAATAAATGACAAGGCTTAAATAGAAATAGCATAAATAAATAATTTATTTGTTACAGACACTGAATCTTTAGGTTGTTCATTTTCAGCTGTAGATCTTAAGTGTTTTATTTTCCATTGTTCGATTTCCATAATCAATGCTCCTTACTATCTTTCTTGCAGGTATCACATCACTGCTACTGAATTATGTAACAAATTAGTATATTCTATACAAATATTTACTGTTTTATGTAGCTGTCATTTTCTGTTGTCAATTTTCTGCTGCTCATTTTCTTGTAATTTCACAATAAAGGCATCAGTTTAATGTTTTCCACGTGTTCTGTCTCATATTCTCAACTTGTTTTGTCTCACATTCTCCACTTGTTCTGCCTCACGATCTACTTCCATTAAACTTCTTTATGTAAGCAAGTTGTTTGTTTTTGCTCTCTGTTATTTGCCATTTTCTCTATATGCCTCTACCATTGCAGTCTTGTAACCTTTATGATGCCAGTATTTAGTGGTGATTCAAACAGTTTGTGAATTGCGTTGTTGCTTCTCATCATCTACACTTTGATGTGTGCATCTTTCTTTGGTGGTTCTCAAAATTTGTCATAAGACCCGGTTCTCAAAAGTTTGTTGGCTTGGTCTCTTTTGATTTTACTCAAAGTTTCAGAGCCAAACAGGACAATCACTGATTTTGCAAACCAGCTGTTGCTTTTTTCAAAACAATTTTCTCCCGTGATGAATTTAAATAATGCAGACACAAACAATACATTGCACACTTAATGCCAGGCCTATTTCGCTGTAACTCGTCTGGTGTGTTACTTACAGAGTTACATCAACATAAAATTGGGCCCAAAAAAACCTGAGTAAATCCAACTGAAACACGAATAGACTCATGCATTGTGGTTTGTCTAGTTGCCGGAAGTTCACTATAGTCATGTGACTTACCAGGGTAACTTCAAATTTACTATAAATTCTGTCTGTTTACAAAGGAGGAGGTTGCTGATTTTAATTGTTAAAGCTTCAGCCATTTTCAACAGAGGCGTGTTCGGTGTGGGAAAAACTACAAGAAAAACACAGTCCTTGTCAATTACGTGTTCTGAATTAAGCAAATGAAGAACTGGGTTCTTTCCTCTTGACTGGTCTCGACACCTTTGAAGAATCCCTGAACTGTTTATGTAGCCATTTGGGTATGTGCTCTGCCACTCTATTTCCAAGCTGTATCTCCGTTCGACCGATGTAAGTCAACTGGCACTTACATGTAAACTGATAAATTTAATGATACAACTTATGTGTGTGATAGACAAAATCCAGTTTTCAATTTGCAAAAACTAGAAACAAACAATCAAAAGTTATTTTTCCCTCTGTGCTGCATTTATCTTTTCCCCGCTGATATTGAAATCTTTACCCACCCTTATTTTCGCTACTGGCCTCTGATAAAAAAAAAATCTTAGTATTCAATTAAGCAAACTTTTAAAATAATCACAAAAATTAAATAACACATCATTCAATTCAAATACAGTAAACAAATTGTATAAATTATTTCTTTAAAATTTTTTTTTAAAGATTTTAAGTAAATCATCACAAAATTAACTGTTAGAAATCACTTGTAGTTTTGTGTTCACCCAGGTCAGTGCAAGTGCATCAGTCATTATAGAGAACTGCATGCTGCGGGTTTGACACCCTGGAAAGAAAATAACAACAAATGTGTTAATAGCAGATGAACAAACAAGCAAAACTGTTTGGTGCCCATATATCATAGCGAGTCAAGCCCAGAGCCAAATTGGCCCCAAATAAGAAGGAGTTTCTTTTAACTCTCCTCTTTTTTGTTACAATGGGAAGATTTTAAGGATTTTGATCTCTCTTTATAAATTTCCCATCTTTTTCAGGCCTCTGAGGGACTTAGTTCCCATTCCCAGAGTTTTTTAGGCCTCTGAGAAACTAAGTTCCCATTCCCAGAGTTTTTTCAGGTCTCTGAGGGACTTAGTTCCCATTCCCGGGGTTTTCCTAGTCTCAAGGCCTGCTACAAGCTCTGTATGTTACTTAGTGTGTTCTCACATCATTGCCTCTGTTCTTTCTGCCCTTTATACCACAGTAGAGCATAGGGCCTTAACCAGCTTACACCAAGCCCTTTAGACTTATTCACTGTTTGCTGGCTTTTGCAAATGATGAATTTACAAGATCAGTTGGCTCAACACAAGTCCAGACCTGTGCGCAGCTTCCTCTTATTACATGCTTGGCAACACAGACTTACTCATGGCCCTGTCGTGTCATGTAGGAAACATTGATGGAAAAAGCGGGTGGGGGGAGAGATGACTCAATTACTAAATACATTGACTCCCAGGTCAACCCAGCCTTGAGTGGGTACTGGGTGCAGTTCTGGGAAGTAAAGGCCACCGGCATGACGCTGTTGACATCATCCACAAGTGCAGACTGGTCTATAAAATACAGGTCTAGCCCTATATACCCAATACAACTTAAGGTGTGGAAAAGGGTCCTTTTGTATCCCTCAAAACATAACATTTAACATACAGACTAATTCAAATACTGGATCTTCTCAAAATCAATTAAATTAAGCTTCCTTTTATCTATGCAAAGAATAAAATTAGATTTAGAAACTGTATAAATGAATACTTTAGGAAAGAACTTCAATTCATGGGGTGGGGATGGGGACTCTAGGCGTCAAAGCCTCCAGTTTCCAGAGCCCATTGTATTACTATTCTTATTTCCCTTAATTCTGTCATTACAAGAGCACCAACAATTTCTGGATCAGGACCCAGTTGAAATATCCCAGAAAGAAAAATCATTTAAAAACAATAATTTTACAAGGTCACTAATAAATTTGTAGGAATATATAGAAAATTTCTAAAGATATAGGAAGGGAATTAATCAACAAACACAAATAGGGTGAAGCATTAACCGGAGTACATGTCCTTGGCCTAGAAAACATATGCATCTGGTGTCTCATGCCATGACCCTATGACATCTATCAATGAGGTGTGTGGGGAAAATATGACATGAATTTGGATTTCAAAAATCTATCTGGCTCAAAGAAAAAACTCCTATATGCTATTTTTGTGTGTGTGTTTGTTAATGCATTCATTTCCTGACCTCTTAACTGTTTAAACTGGCATGAAAACAGCCTACAGTTGTGTAAAAAGTCATACCCATGTATGATGCAATGTGTTGTTATTTGAATCCCCACCCTGGCTTCTCCCGGGGGCCCTGAATATAGCCGGGGCATAGACAAAGCCTAGCCATAGATATGGCCTAACGGCTGACAGGGGTTTCTGGGACCTCTTCACGGCTGATCCTCATCCGCATGGGAGCACTTTGTATCACCGGGTTTTTATCGCTTGCGTGATGTTCTGGTGGGGTAAACAGTCAGTCAGTAATCAGCCTATAGCATTAACTAGGTGTCTTGCAAACAGATCACTTTGGACAAGTCTGAAAAGTGACATTTACAGTGAATCAGACCCCTAGGAAAGTGTCAGTTTTGCAGCTTCTCTGTGTATTAGAGAGTTCAGGACTTAAGTTACATACGGGTGGCCTCACACTGTGTCTCACCTTATATGCATCACAAAGCAGCTTTGGGAGATTTGATTGTGCTTCACTTTGAATAGCTTCTGAGTGAACCTGGACAGGTGAAACAAAGATGTATCATTTGCTTCGAATTAACATACATTACATACATACATTACAGACATAAATACATAACATACACTACATATATACACAAAAATACATTCATCAATCAACCCACCCACCTACCCTCATCCCTCCAAAGACATACATACTGATAGACACAGTATATTACAGACATAAATACATAACATACACTACATATATACACACAAATACATACATCAATCAACCCACCCATCTACCCTCATCCCTCCAAAGACATACATACTGATATAAACGCACATAAATATACACATACCTACATATAACATATTTTGAAGCAGAGAAGTAGATTAATATTTGTGTTACCACTATACTGTATTAGTAGTGTTCATGAATAATAAAAGATGGTAGTCAGTCTGTGTTCTGCGGAATGTCCTCAAGTAGTTTTACATTTTCAATATCACACTTTTATAAAGAGAGTCGCCAGACGCTCGCCGTGGATCGGAAGGTCCTGAGTTTACTCCCTGGCAGAGAGGGACTTTTTTTTAAAAATGACCTTGGCTTCCAGGTCAACCCAGCCTGGAGTGGGTACCGGGTGCAAAACCGGGAAGTAAAGGGGGCCGGCATGATGCTGACCACATCACCCATCTTGTGCGGACTGGTCTATAATTTATAGGTCTAGCCCTATATGCCTAAAGGCGTGAAAAATGGTCCTTTACTTTACATTACTGTTTGTTTTTTTACTTTTATAAAATTTCCTGGCAGTAAATATAAAAAATACTATAAAACAGCCACTGATATAGAAATAAAAAAGAGTATATGATGCTCAATTACTATGTTCTTGGTTAATTGACGGACCATGCTCACTACAATCTTTCTACTTCTTTCTATGAGTGCCGTTCACAATACTTTCTGTTACTTGATTAATTCATAATATTTAACGGCCTCAAATGGTTCCCCCCTCTGTTTATTTATAGGAATGACGTATACACACCGGAACCTACCAATCAAATACCTTTCTTAAATGTTTGTGTATTCTAGACAAAGCAATAAGGTCTTACTGCGTTCGTAAATTGTTGCTGTGATTGTTATTCGACATTTGCTTCGTTAATATAAATTTCTGTAACCTATGGTGCCATTTCAATGGGTTGAAATGAATTCTGTCCGTATTCCATAGTCGTGGATTTCAAGCTGTACGATAGACATGGCCAATGAGACACCTTTTTTGGGGTGCCGAGTTGACCATGTCTCTTAGTGCACTTGTATTCATGGCGAGGCGCAGACGCCGTCTGGAGGTGACAGGTTCAATTCCCGGCACGGTAACTATAGCTTTCGAATTTTATGTTGTCTAGTGTGTTCTTCTATCTTTCTACTTCTTTCTATGAGTGCCGTTCACGATACTTTCTGTTACTTGATTAATTCACTGCAATCAAGCAATCAATCAGGTGCCATCTCCACAGTAAAGGTTGGCAATGAATCTCCAACATGCTGTGTCTCTTGTCCTAGTTTTACACTCTCTCAGACTGCTGCCTGTCCATCTCTAGATGTTATCCTCCCACTTGTATCATTGTCCAGCTTTTGCTCTTTTGCCTTCGACCTTTCCCTCCAGTATAGTTTTTAAAAGCAAAGTATTTCAGCTGTCTCTTGTTTTATTTCTTTCAGTAATTCCCTTTTTATTTACAGTTTCCAGAACCTCTGTATTGGACTGTTTTTGTTTCCTTGAAATACAACCTATTCTTCTGTATACCCACATCTCCAGGGACTCAATTCGATTTTCTAGTTGTTTGTTCATTGTCTAAATTTCTGCACCATAGAGCAAGACTGAGTGTACATACATTTGACAATTCTCATTTTTAGTGTGTTGTTTATCACTCTAGCTGTCAGAAATTTGTAACAAAAATAAAAAGTAAAGGACCCTTTCCCACACCTTTAGGCGTATAGGGCATATAGGGCTAGACCTATATTTTTATAGACCAAACGGCACAAGATGGGTGATGTGGTCAGCATCACGCCAGCAGCCTTTACTTCCCGGGACTGCACCCGGTACCCACTAAAGGCTGTGTCGACCTGGGAGCCAAGGTCATTTTTTAAAAAGTCCGGTTCCGCCAGGAAGCGAACCCACGATGTCAGAAATTTGTGCATCTTATTGAAGACTGCACACTGGCCTACTTCATAAGCACTCAGAATCCTTTCCAATATCTTCCTCAGGGTGTGGGGACTAATACCAGTTCTCTACCCATTTACTGTTCTTCATTGGCTACCTGTATAGTGTTTATGTCTAGCAGCATGATGTCATACTCAATCAATTGGGTAATCAGTTTTAACTTCATAGCAAGTGGGACACCCCATAGTTGTTACATTCCTGTGCCGACAAAAACCACACAGAATGTCCATTACTGTCGCTTGTGAAAAAATTGAAACAAACTGCAGTTTCGGCAACTCCAATAACATACACACTCATTAAAACAGATGTGCTAACACAAATAGTCTGATACTAGAAATGCAGTTAATCATTGATGAAAGCAGCAGTTACAACCGTTCAGTAGTTGCACATGCAATTAAACACATAAGTCACCATGCATCTCATACTGTCCATTATGTTCTCTCTTGGTCTCCATGTGCCTCTCTTCCTCTCCAACATTCCTATTATCATGACATGCATCACTTTTCTCTTTCTCATGATATGATCCAGGAATGTACATTGTCTCCTGGTGCAGGTAATCAGTCCTCTGAGTATAAAAACATAAAAATATTAACAAATAACACAAACCAGAAAATTCCTTACCCCGTTGAGTGTGACCCAAGGAACATAGGTGTGAGTTGGAACTAGGGCATCAGTTCTGAGGGCCATTTGATGTTCCAGCTGGTTGCCATAGTCGGAAGTGGTGCAATTTAAAATCTCATTCAAAGGCACATTAAACTGGGTAGCACACTGAAATACCAGATAAAACACATTAACAGAAAGGCATGTTATAACGTCTACCTTTTTCAGCGTTCCGAGACCTAAAAGTTAGCTGCTGTGAATATAAACCCCCATCATTTGTCTCCGTGACTGACTGTCTCATTCCAGATGGTGACTGCAAGAGCTTGTAGGTCTCACTGTATATTATATCTCGTGACTGCAAGAGCTTGTAGGTCTCACTGTATATTATATCTCGTGTCTGCAAGAGCTTGTAGGTCTCACTGTATATTACATCTCGTGACTGCAAGAGCTTGTAGGTCTCGCTGTATATTATATCTCGTGACTGCAAGAGCTTGTAGGTCTCACTGTATATTATATCTCGTGACTGCAAGAGCTTGTAGGTCTCGCTGTATATTATATCTCGTGTCTGCAAGAGCTTGTAGGTCTCACTGTATATTATATCTCGTGACTGCAAGAGCTTGTAGGTCTCACTGTATATTATATCTCGTGACTGCAAGAGCTTGTAGGTCTCGCTGTATATTATATCTCGTGACTGCAAGAACTTGAAGGTCTCGCTGTATATTATATCTCGTGACTGCAAGAACTTGAAGGTCTCGCTGTATATTATATCTCGTGACTGCAAGAGCTTGTAGGTCTCGCTGTATATTATATCTCGTGACTGCAAGAACTTGAAGGTCTCGCTGTATATTATATCTCGTGACTGCAAGAGCTTGTAGGTCTCGCTGTATATTATATCTCGTGACTGCAAGAGCTTGTAGGTCTCGCTGTATATTATATCTCGTGACTGCAAGAGCTTGTAGGTCTCACTGTATATTATATCTCGTGACTGCAAGAGCTTGTAGGTCTCAATGTATATTATATCTCGTGACTGCAAGAGCTTGTAGGTCTCGCTGTATATTATATCTCGTGACTGCAAGAGCTTGAAGGTCTCGCTGTATATTATATCTCGTGACTGCAAGAACTTGAAGGTCTCGCTGTATATTATATCTCGTGACTGCAAGAGCTTGTAGGTCTCACTGTATATTATATCTCGTGACTGCAAGAGCTTGTAGGTCTCACTGTATATTATATCTCGTGACTGCAAGAGCTTGTAGGTCTCACTGTATATTATATCTCATGACTGCAAGAGCTTGTAGGTCTCACTGTATATTATATCTCGTGACTGCAAGAGCTTGTAGGTCTCACTGTATATTATATCTCATGACTGCAAGAGCTTGTAGGTCTCACTGTATATTATATCTCATGACTGCAAGAGCTTGTAGGTCTCACTGTATATTATATCTCATGACTGCAAGAGCTTGTAGGTCTCACTGTATATTATATCTCGTGACTGCAAGAGCTTGTAGGTCTCGCTGTATATTATATCTCGTGACTGCAAGAGCTTGTAGGTCTCGCTGTATATATCTCGTGACTGCAAGAGCTTGTAGGTCTCACTGTATATTATATCTCGTGACTGCAAGAACTTGTAGGTCTCGCTGTATATTATATCTCGTGTCTGCAAGAACTTGTAGGTCTCGCTGTATATTATATCTCGTGACTGCAAGAACTTGAAGGTCTCGCTGTATATTATATCTCGTGACTGCAAGAACTTGTAGGTCTCGCTGTATATTATATCTCGTGTCTGCAAGAACTTGTAGGTCTCGCTGTATATTATATCTCGTGACTGCAAGAACTTGAAGGTCTCGCTGTATATTATATCTCGTGACTGCAAGAGCTAGTAGGTCTCGCTGTATATTATATTTCCATCATCCTCTTGGTCAACCCCATCGTCTACTACTACTGAACATAACATGCTTTAAAAATAAAATACAGTTGCAGTATGATATATTAATGACCTGAAAGGTTGAATGTAAGACGGGCTTGTGCCCAATATGAAAATAAAGTTTGTTTGTTCGTTTGTCAAACTCTTTTGTGTAATAATACAGGTTTTGTCACTTTATTTTTCTCCATGTTATTCTAAAAGCATCACTTAAAGAGTGATTCCCAAACTGTGTGCTGCCGCTCCCCAGGGAGCCCCTCTTCACAGGGGTGCCGCAAAATGTTTGAAGATACACGAGTTTTATTTTTTTGATCTCTTACATATGAATAGTCATAGTGTTACTTAAGTTAGGGCGCCATGGAAACATTTTAATTGAAAAAAGGTGCAGCGACTAATAAAAGTTTGGGACACACTGACTTAAAGCCTGTTGTAATCTTTTTTGGCCAAGGGTTAAAATGTCGTCTAGCAGGAACAGCACAGGTGAAGGTCACACAGCGGCCAGAGTCGTTACCTAGGCGAATGTAATTATACCACCTAATTGAATTCTGGGGATAGAAGACAAAGGGACAAGCAGTTGAGATTTTTCAATTGTCCAAGTCGGACGTGGATTCCGCGGGTTAGTGGAAACATTGTGGTGGCTGTTTTTCGCTTTGAGAGGATAATAATAGAAATGTTTTCTCTTTGAGAGGTTTTTGATTTGCCGCTGTTTGCGGGAGACATTGTGATGTCTGTTTAGTTTATAATGGCAGGAGTCCATTGAGAGAAGATTGTAATCATTTATATCATCCATAAAGATAATAGAGATTTATTATCATACATATAATATTCGTCATCATCTTGTGACGTGTACTGTAAATGACATTAAAGTTTATGTGGCCTGTCACAAGTGTTAGTGTTGTCTTGTCAGTATAGTCACAACTGTATTTGCTGGTGCTGTGCCAAGTGTGCCAGTTATATTATGCAGGACTGTAGCACATCCATCAAGGAGAGATCCAGCAGCATATTGGAGTAGGCACCCTAGGCTTACATACTTGGTTGTTTTACAGATACTCAGATACATCAATGTTCAAACACAGACATTTTATAAACTGATATAAATAAGTGCTCTGTACACCAATAGTCTATGCAAGGGGGTTAATAGAGTGTACAACAAAGCCTTTAATGTGGAATCTCTTACTTGGGAGGCTGCTGTGCAAGACTGGACTACATACAGAGAGGGGCAACAACCACCAGGCCTTCAAGAAAAAGGGCAGCCAGGCTAGAAAGACTCGTATTACAGGTCCTTTACCTACAGACACTGTTCCCTGCCCTCACTGTTTCAGAACCTTACGTGTCCGTATAGAGCTATTAAGTCAGCTCCGAACTCACAGAACACAACTACAGTTTCATGACAAATGAAAGAAAGAGTGTTCCACATCATTTGTGATAGACAAACAACAACATCTGCCGTTCTCTCTATATACCCCCACCATCTCAGTCCATCAGCCATCATGATGCCAGCAATCAGTATTTTGGACTGATGATTCTAAGGTTTTGTGATGAAATAATATTTTATTCTGTTCTGGTTAAAATGATAGTTGTCCTGTTTTACCACTTAATTATTGGAAGCCATTGTGGTGTAGTGGCTGGATCCTCTAACTATGGCCTCAAGGACTTGTGCTCAAATCAGCATCAAGTCAGATTTTTAAATAAAATGACCTTAGCCACCACTCAACTCAGCAAAAAATGGGTACCAGTTAGAGTCTAAGAAAGTAAAAGTGGTCAGCATGATGTTCCCCACATCCCCCTTTTTATGGCCAATTGATCTATAAAAATATGGCTTACATTATATGCCTAATGTACCACTGATGTAAAAAATATACCTTAATTAATTATTTATTTTAACCAGACAAAGTAGCTCCTCAGGAACAATTGTGGATAGATTTTGGATGTGAGGAGCAATTCCACTTAAAATCACCCCACAGTTGCTCCATTTCTATATCAGCAGAAACTATCCCTGTTATTCGTGTATTCTTTACAAGATGTTACAGAACCAACCTAGGCACATTTTACATTCAGTAGTTTGCCACTGCTTTCTGTATGGTCAACCTCTGTCAAAACCAATGCAAGACATTCTGCAACCAAACTGCCTGTAGCTGGGATTGAACCCAGCACACTGGCATTATAAAGCATATTTGCAACTGACACTAACACGATTGCGTGACATGGGAGTTAAGCATGGTGAAGCACGTCTTTGCCGTCTGCGAGGCCGAGAAAGGAGACAATATAACCAGCTTCTCATGGGGGACAATTAGTAGAAGTACTTTGGAGTGGCTGCTGCTTCGGAGGACTGCGCACGCATGGGTATGCCCAATGTGCAGTGACGTCGATTGTGATAACAAAACACAAAATAACATTTTGTAGGAAGTCGGCATTCCGAAACCCAAGTTCAAGGTGTCTCCTTCGTGCCAAAGAACTGCATGGCTGTTGGGTGAACAGTCGTTAACGAAGGCAGTCAGGTCGTTGTAGGGGCGACGCCTGCTGGTGGATGTAATGTCCTAAGTCCCTTTCCCAGCTAATAGTGAGGGTACTGCTGGGGTGACCATTTGTTAACCCCTCACATAATGCTTCAAGTCACAGTGGACACTAGGCACGACCACTTTTTTATTTTCTTTATTTTTTTTTTTAAACCGTGGCAGTTCTGCCAGGCGGTGGCCGTTGCATTTTTGCTCCATTTGTAAACTGGAAGGATATAGTTTCGTCACCCAGCTTCTGAGTTGAGTGCATGGTGTGACACTGTGAGCTACGAGTGTTTTTCGTTGGCACAGGAGCGGAGCAACAATGGGGTGACCCGTTTGCTATGATGCTGAAACTAGGATTACCAGATTACCAGATATTTGCAACACCTACTCCTGTACTTTGTAATAAAGAAATTACAAATAAAAAATTGAATACCACAATGCCAAAAGCATACACAGGTGTGTAAAACCAAACTGTTAACACTTTTCAAATATTATTCTCTGATTTCTATGAAAATCATCCATAAAGAGAGCTGGATAACTAACCTGCTGTGCTGCAGGAGTGGGCTGTAGGTTGGAGGCCTCCAAACAGTTGAGGAATGGAAAGTAAACATCAATGTTTTTCACTATTGCAATAGTGCAAGTCTGAAAAAAAAGGATGCAATGATAACAGAATTAAGTAAACTAGATACAAAAATGTGACCATTAAATCTATTAATTACATAATCTGTTTACAAAAATAAAATTATCGATTACAAAACCTATCAATTACATAATCTATAAAATCATAATCACTCCAGCCTGCAGATCGGAAGGTCGTGGGTTTGGGTTATGACAGTAGTGGACTTTTTTTTTTTAAATGACCTTGGCTCCCAGGTTGACCCAGCATTAACTCTTTGAGTTCCAAGGAATGCATCATACGTTCAAAGATTCCTACCTAGAAGCCCAATAAACGCAAGATGCGCTATTTTTACTTCTCTCTTGACTATCCCTTGGGCCTGTGATGCTAAACCCCCTGGGACTCAAAGAGTTAAAGAGTACTATCTGGAATCAAGGGAAGTAAAGGCAGCCAGTGTAATGCTGACCACTCACCCACCAAGTACCGATTGGTCTAAAAAATATAGATCTAGCCCTATATGCCCAATATGCCTAAAGGCCTGGAAAGGTTCTTTTACTTCTATAAAATCCTCATCTGTAAAATAATTTGTAAGTTACATAACCCATCAACTATGTGATGATAAATTACATAATCTATGAACGTGACAGAGAGAAGAAATAGCATCACGTGGGAAATGCATGGCTGTGGAACCTCCAAATTCTGTGAACATTCACTGACACCTTTCCGTCTTTCCAGATGATAGTATTACACTGCGCTATGAGGAGGAATGGGACTCACAGCCATGGCAACAGCCAGGAATGAAGTTCGTCCTCTCCACGGCACAAAGCCTAGGCAGAACTGTAGAGACCCTATGTTGCCCATGCAGCATGATCCCTCTCTCAACCTTCCTTGCTTACTCCAAAGGAAAAGTAACACCAGTACATTAAGAACAAAGCAGGCTGCAGAAGCTGCCGGATCAGAAGAGCAGTGCTCTATCTGTCCGCCTGTCAGAGCTTCCCTCCTAGACCAGCTGCCAGCCAAAGCCAATGGCCAAGTCTGCCCTGTATGTAGTAGTAGTAGTATTTCACTTCATCACTCAACAGCCGTGCTTGCATCATCTCTTTTGTTTTTACTGGTAACGTGCCCGAGAAAGATCATCACTCGATACTGAGTTCTGAGTTAACCTGAAAAAGTCTTTACATTTTGGGGTGTGTCTAATACAGAGTTTTCTTATACACTGACAAATATGTACACAGTACTTAATCTATGTCGGTGTCTGTGGCTTAGGCTCTGCGAACATGCTTTGTAATGCCGGGGTGCCGGGTTCGATTCCAGCTGCGGGCTCTGCGCTGGTTTCAACAGTGGTATTGAGAAGCCGACCGTCTAAAAAGCAATGGCAAACTACTAGACGTAAATTTGCCTAGAAAAACCACAACAGCCAAAAAATTATGGGGTTGGCTCTGCAACGTCCTGTAAAGGATAAACAACTAATTAACTAACATAATCTAGCAATTTTATAATCTATCAAGTACTTAATCTATCAATTTTATAATCTGTCAAGTACTTAATCTATCATTTTTATAATCTGTCAAGTACAAAATCTATCAGTTTTGAAATCTATCAAGTACTTAATCTATCAATTTTATAATCTGTCAAGAACCTAATCTATCAATTTTATAATCTGCCAAGCACATAATCTCTCAGCAGTACATAATCTATCCGCTTTATAATCTGTCAAGTACTTAATCTGTAAAGTACATAATCTATCAACTTTATAATTTGCCAAGTACTCACTGCGATAATGTTGCCAACGCATTCCTGAGCTCCATGCTGACAGGTAAATTGCCAGCGGTTGTTGACCAGTGTTTCCTGAGTTTATAACAGAATGTGATAAATATAAAAGGGGGAAACAGGTGTTAGAGGTGTAGTTGGTGAGAAAATCATTACAAATATGCATCATAGGCAGCCACGGTGGTGTAGTGGCTAAATGCTTGCATTCAATCCGAAGATCATGGGTTCAAACCTGCATTGAGTATAATTTTGTGTGTGCTGAAAATCACCTTGATTCTCCCAGGTCAACCCAGCCTAAAAATGGTAGCAGGTATAGTTCTTGGAAGAAGTAAAGGTGGCCAACAAGATGTTGGCTACCTGTCTATAAAAATATGCACCTAGAACGAAATAAAGGAACAGACTGTAAGCCCGATGTGACATTCAATGCATAACAGGACGATGATGATGAAAACTAAGAAAACTGGGCCAGCATATGAACAAACCAGCCGTTCATACTACCATGACTGAACTTACTTTAGAAAAATTAATACTGTAGAATTTCCAACAAAATGATTCAACCATGAATGCTACTGATTTAGCACTTACATCTGCCTGAAAGGCCAGTGATGTGAAAAGGCTGATACATCACTGATGTGAAAAGGCTGATACACCACTGATGTGAAAAGGTTGATACACCACTGATGTGAAAAGGTTGATACACCACTGATGTGAAAAGGTTGATACACCACTGATGTGAAAAGGTTGATACATCACTGATGTGGAAAGGTTGATACACCACTGATGTGAAAAGGTTGATACACCACTGATGTGAAAAGGTTGATACACCACTGATGTGAAAAGGTTGATACACCAATAATGTGAAACAGTTGATACACCACTGATGTGGAAAGGTTGATACACCACTGATGTGAAAAGGTTGATACACCACTGATGTGAAAAGGTTGATACACCACTGATGTGAAAAGGTTGATACACCACTGATGTGGAAAGGTTGATACACCACTGATGTGAAAAGAATGATACATCACTGATGTGAAAAGGATGATACATCACTGATTTGAAAAGGCTGATACACCACTGATGTGAGAAGGCTGATAAGCCACTGATATGAAAAAGTGTTACACCACTGAGGGGAAAAGGCTGACACACCACTGATGTGAAAAGGATCACGCTTATGTATGGATCATAAACAAATGTACTGAAAATTAATTAAGTGGCAAGATAACTGCTCTATTCATATGCTTGCATAAACTATATAGAATGCCTATCCCTGTACCTTGTAATGAAAAAAAAAAAAAGTGGACTAGACAAATACTGTAGTACTGGATACAACTGACACTTAAAGCACCGATACCATCCTGTTGCAGCTAGAGATTTGATGGGTAGGTCACCTGATCCATTTGCCAGACCATCAGCTGGATTGGATTGGCTTTTTACCCCACCAGGACATCACACAAGCGATAAACACCCGATGACACAAAGTGCCACTATGCGGATGAGGATCACCGTGGAGAGGTCCCAGAAACCGCGTTCAGACATTTGGCCATAATGATGACCTGCCTATATTGCGGCCCCTGGCAAAAGCCAGAGTGGGGCTTCAAATAACAAAAAATAACGTCCTAAAGGACGTAAGGAATATGTTAGATGGACCATCAGCTCCCAAAAACAATCTTTTATAAGATACGAGAAGGAAGATGCTCTCATTTTGGCCAGAAAAAAAAAAGGGACACGATAAGAGCATCACTTAAAGCTTTTTTTATAAGCCCTGACACCTTAGAGGCTGCTGCTCAAGACAAGATCGTCTGTATGGTTAACATCTATCCAAAAAGACACAGCGACTTGCGAGGTATCTAGAAAAAGGGTAGCTGAACTGTGAAGATATGCCAGAAAGACCCATATAACAGGCTCTTTCCCTACAAACACTGCATCCTACCCTCACTGTCCTAGATCTTTCCAGCCCATACTGGGCTAATAAGTCATCTACGGACTCACAGACAATCAAATACAGTTTCATGACAGATGAGAAAAAAAAAGAGTAGTCCTCATCACTTGAGTTGAGTTGAGTCAGGAATTGACATCACAACACTCTGGGCATTCCCATGCATGCTCCGTCCTCATATTCAGCAGCCAGCGCATAGTTTCAATACTGATGGTACTGGTCACAATCTGGTTTTATGTCCGTCTTTCTTTTCCTCTGAGTGTAGTGAGCCGGCCAGACCCTCTGGTTACACCCAGATGCCTCATTCTCTCCAGGCCATAATAATCTTCTATTTCTACTGATTCCATAGCTTGTTCTCAAAGGTCTTTGACTACATCTGCCTTGTCATGTATCAATTCACCACCCAGTGGTGCAGATCTAACCAATCTGTCTGCCTGTTCATTACCCACCACGCCGACATGGACTGGAGAAAAGATCCAAAGTATGCTCACTATCCGTAACCTTTCCAGTGAAGCTTACCACTCTGCTTGGAGCATCCTCATCACTCGTGATGGACAAACAACAACATAATGAATAAAGTAAAAAAGATATACAGATTATTGTCAGCTGCAGGTTTACTTGTTCACCTTTAAAAACTATTTCAGAAAACAAATAAAATTTATATTAGTGACAGCAATATGTTTGGGATCTGATGTGTGGCTGTCTTCTTTTTCTTTTCATCCTCTTCCTTCTTCTTCTGTTCCACCTTCTTCTTTTCTCCTCCTCCTCCTACTTTTCATCCTCCTTCTACTCCTTCTCATCCTCCTTCTACTCCTTTTCACATCTTCCTTCTACTTCTTCTCATCCTCTTTTCCCATCCTCCTACTTCTTCTCATCCTCTTTTCCCATCCTCCTTCTACTTCTTCTCATCCTCTTTTCCCATCCTCCTACTTCTTCTCATCCTCTTTTCCCATCCTCCTTCTACTTCTTCTCATCCTCTTTTCCCATCCTCCTACTTCTTCTCATCCTCTTTTCCCATCCTCCTACTTTTTCTCATCCTCCTAGGACTCCTTCTCATCCTCTTTTCTCATCCTGCTTCTTCTCAGCCTTCACCTTCTTCTCCTCTTCCGCATTTTTTTTTTCTTTTTCGGTGATCTCTTGGCATGTGCTTATGATATCAAAGGGGCTGCACAGAACAGAACAGAATGAAGGAACAGACTGTGAGCCCTATATGACATACAATGACACAACAGGACAGTGATGATGATGATGAAACCCAAGAAAGCTGGGCCAGCAGTTGAACAAACCAGCCGTTCATACTACCATGACTGAACCTACTTTATAAAAATTATTACTGTTGGATTTCCAACAAAATGATTTAACCGTGAATGTTACTGATTAAACACTTACATCTGCATTTCCATAAGGTATTAGAGTCAGATTTGTAATAGATGAAAGCTTCAGGTAGGTGGGATACAACATGGTTGTAATGAAGTTCTTGCAGTACGGGCAGAGGCTCTCATAGTACAACGCAAAGTTGACAGGGGCAGCATCCTGGTTAAGGGTCCACTCATTCTTCTTGCACTGGTCATAGACCTTAGAGAGCAAACAGACCATGAATAAACAATTTAATTAAAGTTTATGAATAATACAAGTAACATAACAAGGCAAAACTTTTGACCAAGTGAAACACTGGTGCAAGCCAAACTGTACGGGTCGCTGAGTGAATTACAAAAGACAGTGAAGTTCCTACAAGAGTCAACACTGCAGATATAGATAATCTATTTCAAGTGATAGAAGAAGAAGAAGAAAAAGAGGAAGAAGAAGAAGAAAAAGAAGAAGAAGTAGAAGAAGAAGAAGAAGAAGTAGAAGAAGAAGTAACATTTTCCCATTGTGAATTTAAATAATTAGTACATAAACAATGTACCGTGGTTTTGTGGCTTACAGGTTAGTAAATGTGTGTTTACAATATCATAATTCCAAAGTAACAGGGTTTATTCTTTCAACTACAGTATTTTCATGTTCATACTTTAGTAAGAGAATCACACTGTGGAACAGACTGAGGTCTCACCATTTATATTCCCAAAGACTGCAGTGTGTGCACAGTAGTCAATTTTCATTCTTCAGATGGCAAATAAATTATTTTAAATACACTAATAAATTACAAAAATTAATTGCCTCGTATATTTATGATAATGGATGCCCTTCAGACATTTCTTGATTACTTTACATTTGTTTACTCTGCTGCTGCCTATAATTTTCACTTACTTTACTGGCAGTTTTTTGTTTACATGTTTTTTAAAACTTTGATTTACCTTACAGTTGGGAGCTCGCTTGTGGATCTGACTATCATAAGTTCAAATTCAAACAGAACTAGACATTTTTCAAAAATGACCTTGGCTTCAAAGTCGACCTAGCCTTAAATGGGTATCAGGTAAAGTCCTTAAAAGTACAGGCGGCCGGCATGACACTGATCACATCACCCACCCAGTGCCGACTAGTGTATAAAAATATAGGTCTAGCCCTATTTGCCCAATACACCTGAAGACATAGAAAAGGGTCTTTTACTTTACCTTACTGTTGTTTTTTAAAACTTTTGTTTATTTTACTGTTGTTTACTTTACTTTTGTGTTTTACTTTGGTTCACTTTACTGTATTTTTGTTTTTAACTTTTGCTAACTGTACTTTTGTGTTTTTGTTACTTTACTAGTTTTTTTAAATATTTTATTTAGTTTATGGCTGTTTTTCAACCTGTTTTTTTACTTAAGTGTATTTTTTAAACCTGTTTACTGTTTTTTTTTTTTTATGTAGTTGATAATCTTACTGCTGTTTACATACCTTTTTTTTTTTTAAACTTTGATTTTTTTTTTTAGTTTTATTTCTTCAATTGTATTTTTTTTTTTAACTTTACTGTAACTATTTTTACTAGACTTTTTAAAACTTTTGTTTACGTTACTTTTGTTTTCTATCTATATATTTTTTTAAACTGTTGATTTGTTAAATTTCACATCTTAATGTTTCGGTTAAGGGTTAATTTTACTCTGCAGGAACCAACTCAAACTGCATGTTGCTTAACATAGAATTTAATAAATAACAAAAACTCAATGTCTGATTTTTGAAAAATACCATCCCCACCCACCCCCTTTTCCACCCAACTGCCATACATTTCACACCTATTCAGACAGAGGCTACTGTCATAAACAAACCAGTATATTTCAAGGAGAAAGCATTGCTGTATTTAGTCCCAAGAAATTATGGGGACAGCCATCAATTTTTGACCAAATTTAAAAAAAAAGCAAAAGAAAAGGACATTTTCCCACGCTTTCAGACAGGGACTGTTTTTAACCACGCTTTCAGGCGTATAGGGCATACAACCTTCCAATCCGCAAGCGAGCATCTAGCCGCTCCGCAACGGCGACTCCCAGACTAAATTTGAAAAGACAGAAATTGGGCTTTCCTAGCAGATTTGGCCGGCAAGGTAAACTGCTTCGGCCGGCTTAGTGGGGCTTAGTAGGAGCTACGTCCCTTCGCCAAACTCAAAACAACTCAAAACAAGTCGCGGAAAAAGTCACGAATCAAATGACATACTTACCTATCATCATCCGGGTGCGTGTAGGGTTGCGTAGGGTGTCTCTCATCGCCCTACGGTTGCGTGTAGGGCTGCTTATTGCGTTACGTTGGTTGTTTGCGTAAAATGAGGTGTGGGGTTAGGGCTAGGGTTTAGGGTTAGGGTTTAGGGTTTGGGTTTAGGTTTAGGGTTAGGGAATAGGGTTAGGGTTTAGGGTTATGGTTCGATGTGAAAATTTTCACGTAGGAGGTCGAAATTGTGGCCGACAATCTGATGCTTGTGGGAGTGGCGCCACTGAAACTCTGCCAAATATGACGCCAATAGCGGGCGGCTGGTGCCCAATCGGTGGCGACTTGTCCGTGTCAGTAGCATCCACCGTCTGTCGACTGTTTGCGCGTGCATGCGACTGTGCGCGATTATAGGGAACTACGGCGTCACAATTGTCACATCTAACGCTACACCTAACCCTAACCCTAACCCTAAACCCCTAACCCTGCCCCTCATCTTACGCAAACAACCAACCTACACGCAATAAGCAGCCATACACGCAACCGTAGGACGATGATAGACACCCTACGCAACCCTACACGCACCCGGATGATGATAGGTAGGTATGCCATTTGATTTGTGACTTTTTCCGCTCGATGTTTTGAGTGCGGCCACGGGGACATAACTCCCAATAAGTCCCGCTAAGCCGGCCGAAGCAGTGCAGCTTACCGGCCAAATCTGCTAGGAGAGCCTGAAATTGTAATATGGGAAGACTGAAGATTTGTAGAAACAGAAATAGAGAAAGTCAATGTGAGAAGATTTTTAGACAGCTTTTTGTCATGTTATAGCGTAGTGTTACCATAGAAACTAATACAAGGTCACCCGTGGTACTGGAAATCGCAGGTTGGTTGAGTGGAATGATTTTGCCGCGCTATTACCCGGCAAGGCACTTGATGCTGATGAAGATGATGATGCCATAAACGAAACAAACCAAAATAAAATAAAAAAAAAATAAAAAACTTACGCCACATTCTAAGGCAATTTCTTTCGAATCGCACCAAAATCTGGAAGGAATATTGCAAGCTGATGCAGTCACACAGACTTGCAAGGCAGCCAAAGTTGAGAGCAGGAGAACAAGCTGTCTTCGGTCCATGATTGTTGTCATTTTGTGCAAGTCACATGATTATCGGCAAAGTCACGTGCCAAAAGAGTACTTACTGAAATTGCAGGTCAAACTGAATAATATTCTTAATTTTATTATTCCAATTGCTAATTTAAAAGAAGGCCAAACTTTTGCTTCAAAATATATAGATTAAAAAAACAAATACTTCAAATTTATTTATATTATTATTTTTTTAATGATTTAAATTAACATTAATTCTATCATCAACATCACCATCATCATCATCATGAAGCAGGTCCTTTGTAGAAAGTCGCTCTAATTAATTCTATAGAAAAAAATTAATGCAAATTATATACTTATTTGCCAAACTGGCAGGATCGTGAAACCAGGTTAGGCCAACTCAGCACGTGAAAGGCACGAACTAAAGCAGTGTCAAATCACATGCCATTTAGTGATTAGATATATAATTACAGTTTTTGCATGAAACAAATCGTGGAGAAAGGCCTACATTGTGGCTATCTTATAACAAATTGATTAAAATATGCCTGTCAGCATATCGGGGTTATCAATGTATGTACCTAGATTGCAGCAATTGGTATAGTCATTCATTCATCATTGTGATTGTGTCATCTTGGTCTCGGAGTCTTATTTCTCTACTCCGTTCTATCATCTGCAATCACTTCAATATGATGGACGGAATCAGTTGAGCATCTTTGGCCTCCCTCGTCAACGTTCATCTTAAGGTTTCTCTTGGACGGCCTCATTCCCTCAGTCCTTATATTTCCATTTCATTGCCTGTTTGCTGATTCTCCGTTTCGTCTTTTCTCAGGATGTGTCTAACATGGCGCCATCTTCTCTGTTGATACAAGTGGTTGCCAAAAAAGTAACAACGGTGGACTTATCTAAGACATCAAAAAACTTCAAGAAAAAGAAATTCCAAAAATTCAAGAATCTCCTATATGGATGGTGACACCCCAGATGCAGCCCCTGATAAAAGCACTAGAGGTGCTACGTAAAGCACTAAGTCACTGTAACTATCATAACAAAGAAGAAATACATGAAAATGCAGGGGATTTTTTCAAATGGCAAATACAGTATTTGACTATCCTAGCGCTGAACTAGGTCACTACTATAGGAATTGTAAATACAGAAGCATTTAATCAAGAAGCAAGAAGATATGGCATGTCATTTGTCATCCTGGTCTCAAATTTGATGAAAGGGAAAATCACAAACTGCACCTCCAAGTGGTGGAGGGTGGGAAACACACCACAGTGTCTCTAACGCAGATATGGGAGCCTAGTATCCACCGGAATAGGTGGATCACACTACGCAGCTGGGCAGAGAAGAGCACCCACTTTTCCTGACAGTCAGAAATTCTTGTCAAAAGTGCAGGTTAAAATACCCCATGTGGATTGTGGAAAGCAACTGAAAACCACCACATTAAGATATCTCATGAAGAAACATAGACTGAATCACATTAAGAAAACGGAAGTAATGGTTATATCAACGAAGAAGATAACACCACATTGTGAACTCTCAGTTAAAGGGAAAAGACAACCATGTCAATAAATTAAAATAACATAACATCAGATAGAAAATGTGTGACTGAGATAGAAAGCAGAATAGGTCAAGCGAAGGCAGCATTTCAGAAAATTAAAAATATCTTATATGCAAAAAGTCACTCTCATTTAATGTCAGAAAGAGAGTGCTAAAATGTTACAATGTGCGGCAGCGAATCGTAGAATGTCAGTAGCGTTAGGCTACTCTCTCTGATTTCCAACTGCCACGAGATTTTTTACGTGCGCAGCAGTACACATGGGCGTCCATTCTTACCAATCAGAGACCAGGGGAAATTACAAGACCGTCTTTATCTGACCTCACATGGAGGCAGTCTTAGGAAATTACTAGAAGTCCACTTGAAAAAATCCCAGCCTCTACCGGGGTTTGAACCCAGGACCTCCAGCACTCGAGGCGGATGCCATACCTCGAGACCACTCAGTCCCCTGTTCGAACATCTATATGGTCTAACAAGGTGCTCAACCAAGACAAGAGAGAGTGTGGTGTTGGAGACCCGTTACAGTAAACTTTTACTGTGGAGACGACACCTGATTCATTGACCGAAGCAAGGATGTTTCTCTAACGGTACACAACGGTACACGGTACCGACACCTTTTTTAAAATTTTGCTTTTGTTTTCAGCTCTAATGTAATAGACACTTTGTGGGCGGTAACTAAGTAAAGGACTTTCTTCCACACATTCAATCATACCAGGCATATAGGGCTACATTTATATTTTATAGACGAATTGTCCTCGGTGGGTGATGTGATCAGTTGAGATGAATACCGGTACTTTGTATTTCTAGAAGAAAGCAAGAATACATATTAGTAAAGGGCCGTTTCCATGCCTTTAATCACATTGGGCATATAGGGCTAGACCTATAGTTTTTGGACCAATCAGCACTGAGTGGGTGATGTGGTCAACATCATTACAAAAAGTTAGTTGTGTATCCTTTACAGGACGTTGCAGAACCATCCCCATTTTTTCTACGCAAATTTACGGCCAGTAGTTTGTCATTGCTTTCTGGACGGTCGGTTTTCTTGATACCACTGTAGAAACCAACGCAGGGGTCAACATCATACCGAACATATATATGTTTCAGGACTGTACCCAGTACCCACTCAAGGCTGGGTCTACCTGTGAGCCCCAGGTCATTTTTTGAAAAAAGTTCGGCTCTGTCAGGGCTCAAACCCATGACCTTCCCATCCGCAGACATCGTCTAGCCGCTATGCCATGGTCTATCTCTCTCTTCTTTTTTCTTCACCTACTGTAAGCTCCGGCGGAAAGTCGTGGTTATTCGTCTTTTTGGATATTGGCTTTGTGCACACCCGTTTGACTAGCTCATTTGTGTGCAGCATGGTTTTTATTTGCCGCTCGGGCAGATGTACACAGAATTTGAAGGAAGCCCTCAGTTAGTCAACTCCTAAGATAGGATTGGTGTTGAGGCAGTGGGTCTATTCTTGTTTTCCCAACAATGTAGTCCTGGCACCCATACGGGGAGCGCTCTCTCTCTCTCTCTCTCTCTCTCTCTCTCTATATATATATATATATATATATATATATACATACACAGACACACACACATATATATATATGAATGCATATATATATACACACACAAGTATATATATATATGTATGCATATATATATACACACACACACACACACACACACACATATATATATATATATATATATATATATATATATATATATATATATGTGTGTGTGTGTGTGTGTGTGTGTGTATATATATATGCATATATATATATATACACACATGTATATATATATCATGTAGCAGGTCCTTTGCAGAACGTCGCTCTCATCGCAGTCTGCCTAAAAGAAACTCGGTCTCTCGCCAGTTCTTCCGCCTCATGTACTTTTATACTCAAGGAGTCACTTATATCCTGTGCCCATCTTTGTGTCGGTCGGCCCCTGCCCCTCCTTCCTGGTACAATGCCTTCTGCAATTGTTTTTTCCAATCCGTCGTGGCGCAAAGGCAAAAAGGCGCTTTCGGCAAAGGACCTGCTACTTGATGATGACAGCCCAGACAAATGTATGACTCCATATATTTGAGGTAAAATATCATTAAGAGAAATAAGAGATGGGATGAATTCAAGAAAACGAGAGAAGTGTCAGGACAACCGCTTGTATCATCACTTATTAGACAAAGATGGTAATATTTTGCACACGTCGCGAGGAGAAATAGAGAATTTCACTGAAATGAAATAGGCAATAAGTGTGGGTTCCGGGACCCCATCTTGTGGAGGGGAGGGGGGGGGTGAGAAAAATCCACTGCCCTACCAACAAGCATGACGTAAAATGCGATTAATTAGGGGTGTATCCTTTAAAGCCGGAGTGCATCTGCCTGAGAGGCAAGGAACCAGCAGTCTGCATACAAAAAAGCCCTGTAAACAGGATGTTCACGACTTTCAAGGTTGGGCGGGTCTAACTTTCACCAGCCTGCCGGATTGTATAATTTGTTTACAAATTTTATTTTCAAAATATTACATACAATTTAAGAACTAAAAGTAAATTATAGTAATGTTATTACACGCCATTAACGTTTTATAATTTCAAACGATTGTTTCGTAAACCTTAATATTAGTTTCAAGAATTTTTTAATTTGGCGTACATTAAGTTTGAGTAACAGGTGTTTTAGAACCAACCTGGCACGTGACTGATGTGATGATTGTGATCATGTGATGTGCACAAAATGGCAGTCAATATGAAGTTTGTTATCCTGCTCTCTACTGTGGCCTTTTTGCAAGTTTGCGTGACTGCATCAGCTTGCAATATCCCTTCACGATTTTGGTGCGATTCGAAAGAAATTGCTCTGCAGTGTGGCGTAAGTATTTTAAATGATAGAGTATTTAGCTGCCTAATGGTAACATACTGAAAAATACCTTATGATATATGAATATGACGAGTCGTAATTTACTAATAAATATCTCTACTTTGAACTTCCCCATAAAATGGCGGCCGTAATATGTTGGCACATTCTGGTCATAAAATATCCAAAAATATCCGAACAGTGTTCACGTATATCTAAAATACAGACTTTCTGCCAAGGAACAAATCGCGGCAAAACTAGGATTACTTGACAATCAATTCAATATCATTATCAACATGGCACACGGTAGTAGCAGACGATAAATACCGACCGTTGACAACAATTTCGAGCGTTTCTGCAGACGATACTAGCAGACGATTTTAGCGACCGTTGACCAGTTTCGAGACATTACAAACGATGAAAGCCGATTAGCAATCAATACTGTGTTCTTCCGATTGGAGGATTTAGCAGCGGTAGATGTCAGACTTGTCGGCATGCGCCAAACGTGATTAAATTCATTGCCCAGAGTATCCCCCGCGCCGCTACGTGCAGCACGGATGTGGGGCTAAACCTGGGACTCACGAGTAAAGTAATTGGAGGAAGTTGCAGGAGATGCGGTAGCTGCCGCTCGTGAGTCCCAGCCATCTAGTTTAGTCCCCATCCGCGCCGCAGGTAGTGGCGCAGGGGGTATGGTTGGCGGTGAGGGCACACTCGCAGAAGCAGGTCCGCATGTAACTTATCGCCGAGACCCTGTTAGAGCATTTGTTTCGTTATGCGGAGCCGGCACATATATTTTTAATAGAATTGAGCCCCATTCGCATATTTTTTGATATTTTATGGCCAGAAATTGGCCAATTTAGCTCTCTTTCGAACAGCATCATATTACGGCCACTAAGTTATGGGAAAGTTCAAAGTAGAGCCAATAATTTGAACCTCATCATCACGATGTGCCCTGGCGTAGGCGTTCATGCATCTACGCAGATCACGATCCCTGGTTGACTGGAACAGCTCTCTTGATGATATCCCTCCATGCCATCTCTCTTGGTCTGCCTCTACCCCTCTATATATGTAATTTGAACAAATGAAACACAAAGCAGCAGGTAGATAGATTCCCGAGTTTACTGCCAGGCATATTTCGCTATATCTCGTAAGTTGCATACTGCAGTAACAATTGATTAACTCTTTGAGTCCCAAAGAACGCATCATATGTTCATAGGTTCCTACCTAGAAGTCCAATAAACGCAAGATGTGCCGATTTTCCCTATCTCTTGACTACCCCTTAGGCCTCTGATGCCAAACCCCCCGGGACTCAAAGAGTTAAAATGAAGCAAATACACGAATCCTTCAAAATGAAATAAAATCGACTGCCTGACTGCATGCCATCTTGATCATTCATTGTCTGCTTTTACTCCTCAAGGTCTATGAACAGTGCAAGAAGTATCAGTGGACCCTCCGCCAGGATGCTACTCCCGTGGACTTCACACTGTACTACGAGAGTCTGTGCCCAGACTGCAAGCAATTCATTCCACGAATATTGTATCCTACCTACCTGAAGCTTGCGTCAATTACAAATCTGACTCTGGTACCTTATGGAAATGCACGTGTAAGTAGCATTCAATGTTAAATTGTTCTTTTTGAAGTTTTTATATGGATTCCATTTTCTCAACCCCCAGCGGGAAACTGGATGGGACAACAAACGAGGTAAAGGCGAAAGACGAATGGATGAGCCTACTCTCCTCCAGTATGATCAGTCTACCCTAGCAAAACAAGGTGCTGAAGTTGGAGGCAACCAGCCAGGAGGTGCACCACAGCAATCAGGATGCCACGCACACACGCCATATGGAAATATGTAATTCCCACTTCGGCTGGGGGGGGGGGGGGGGGTGAGACCCACTGCATCATAACAAGCATGTCACACACATTAAAAAAAAAAAAAAACACCCAACCCAAACTAATAGGAGTTTGCTACAGTTGAATGTTTTGAGTCAGTAGGTGTAGATATTGCAGCTTAGCTATAAACCACAATGTAGAAGAAGAAGAGGTTCTAATGTGTTAGTTCTTCTCACATAAATTCTTTAGTAATACTCAGTATATAAAAGGTGATAATGATGTGATGGTTTAGCCTCTGTTACACTTGGCTACAGATCTTGAGTTCATACCACATCAAGTCTAATTTGAGAAATTTGACCCTGTCTCCCAGGGCAGACCCGTCTAAAATGAGTGTGAGTATGTTTTTCTTTGGGGGGGGGGGGGGGCCTCTGACAGACAATTTCAGGTGAGTTGAACCCTGGTCTCCCAGGGCAGCCCAGCCTAAAATGAGTATGAGTACCTGGTTTTTTTGGGCCTCTGACAGACAAATCCAGGTGGGTTGAACCCTGGTCTCCCAGAGGAGAGTCCAGCATTCTTAACAAAGATGCAAACAGCGGGGAATGGAGAGTGAGAGGGAACAATATAATTTGTAATCTGTTTGAAACACCATTGATCTCTGGCATCATGAGAGCTAATAGACTGAAATGGCTGGGGCATATTGAGAGAATTTAAGATGACAAAGAGGTAAAAACTGCACACACAAGGGAGCTGAATGGTCGAACGCCACAAAGCAAAAAAAAAAAGGCGATGGAGAGATAATGTCTAGACAAACCTGCAACCACTTGGTCTGGCCAGCTGCTCCTCCTTGACATGCTAAATCCATGAATAGGGTGCCTTAACTACACATGGTGTTCTGCTTGGATTGGAAAAAGTTGAATACCTTTTTTTTAAAAAAAAATACTATTAAATAATATTTGCAACATTGAAAAAGAAAAAAAATAACGCTTTAGAGGTCCTGGATAGGGAGCATCCATTGGATATTTTCTCTGAGGTATACAGGAGTGTTAAGAAATAAACAGGCAGACAGACTAGCTAGTCCTGTACCAGTGGGTAGTAAATTGAAGCATGACAGGCTATCCTAGGAAGTGAAAATGCAACCTGAAAACTTAATGTAATCTTCCCTTCTTCTTCACGTTCACCAGCTTTAAACTCTGGCAGAAAGTTCTTGTTGTTCATCCACTTCTGGACTGCAGTCCTGTTCCAGAAGTTGGGTGTGCATCCGTTTGACAGATCTGACTAATTTGTATGCAGACTGTTGGTTCCTTGCCTCACAGGCAGATGTACTCTGACTTTTAAGGTAGCTCCCAGTTAGTCGACTCTTACGACATGCTTTTGGGTAGGCAGTGGGTCTATTCTTGTTTTCCCTATAACAGGGCCCCAGAACATACACCAGGATCCTAATGTAATGACATGACAAACTAGACATTTACCCTTGGTTTGCAACTGATCTAGGAGTAAAGCTCTGACAGGTTAACAGAGAGATTTTTCTGATCTGGTAGCTTTTGAAACATGCTTTGTTACTAAGACAAAACTAACAAATATGTCAGAGACAAAATGTACAAATTTGCAGGACATCAGGAGTCTCTCTTGGCAGTGTTGAAATGTCGCAAGCTAGCTTGGTTCGGGCACCTGATAAAACATGATTCGATTGCCAAGACAACTTCAAGGAACATTGAAGGGTAGTCGAAAGAGAAGTGCAAAGAAGATTCTAGAATAACAGCATCCAAAATGGACAGGACTAAGTTATCATACACTTATTCATTAAGCGGAAGACAAGAGAAAGATTGGGGGTTTTATGTGCTAGTGCTTCCATCGATGCACCTCCATGACCTGGGTGTAACCAGAGGGTCTGGCCGGCTCACTACACTCAGAGGAAAGACAAGACAGACATATAACTAGATTGTGACCGGTACCATCAGTATTGGAACTGCGCTGGCTGCGGACAATGAAGACGGAGCATGCATGGGAATGCCCCAAGTTCTGTATGGTCAGCTCTTGACTTAACTCTACTTAAGTCAACATCCATGACCCTAATGTTAGGTTATGTTATATTATTCCTGAAGTATTTATTTACTTTGGAGTAAACAAGACCTGCAGAGAAAGGGATCATGCTGCATGAGCAACACCTGGTCTCTACAGTGCTGTCCAGGCTTTGGGTTGTGGAGAGCAGCTGATTACACTCACTGTTGCATCCCTGTAGCACAATGGAATATTTTCATCTGGAAAGATAAACAGTTACCAATCATCATCATGTAGCAGGTCCTTTGCAGAACGTCGCTCTCATCATAGTCTGCCTGTAAGAAACTCTGTCTCTTGCCAGTTCTCCCGCCTCATGAACTTTCACACTCAAGGAGTCATATCCTGTGCCCATCTTCCCAATAATGTTGTCTGATTTCAGCTAACAGCTCGACCCTTTAACTTATTGTGTTCTGTTGTAAATTCAGGAAAGACAAGTTGGAAGCCGCTGGGAGTTTACCTGTCAGCATGGACAAGAGGAGTGCCTTGGCAACATTATTGCAGTAAGTAATTACTGGTGAATTTTTTTGTATGTCCTGATCTGTTTGTGTACTGTTTTTTATGTGGAAGTGCCAATAGATAACCATAATCTAAAGAGAGTGATGCAGGAAGGAGCGACTAAAGGATCAACACTCAGAAGAACGGCAAGAAACAGCTGGGAAATTTTGATATAATATTGTACAGAAATCAGTGAATGAGGAAAGTGGTACATAATGTATAGAAACAAACAGATGGGGAAAAGATGCATATATTATACAGAAATAAATGAATGGTAAAACTTGCATGCAACATATAGAAATAAACAGATGGGAAATGCTATAACTATTATACAGAAATCAGGGAGTGGGTAAAGTTGCACGTAATGTATAGAAATAAACAGATGTGGAAATGCTATAACTATTATACAGAAATCAGGGAATGGGTAAAGTTGCACGTAATGTATAGAAATAAACAGATGTGGAAATGCAGGGCATATTGTACAGAAATCAGTGAATGGGTAAAGTTGCACCTAATGTACATAAATAAGTAGATGGAGAATTTATTTTCTGTGAGTACTGATCAAAAATAAGAATACCAAAAGGCAAGAGGAGCTTTCATAGCACAGGAAATTTGTGGAGGTCAAAAGAAATTAAAAGAAATACTAAACTAAAAAATTTTAATTCTAATGTCAAATCAGTACTATTGTATGGGGCGGAAACATGGAGAACAACTAAGGCAATTACTAATAAATTACAAACATTCATTAACTGGTGCCTTCGCAGAATAAAGGGAATTAAATGGTATGATAGAATAACTAATGTAGAACTTCGGGAGAGAACTAAACAGGCTCCAGTGGACCAAGAGGTTAGGAAAAGATGCTGGCGTTGGATAGGACTCACACTGAGAAAACAGGAGAACAGCATAACTAGAATGTCTTTGCATTGGAACCCACAGGGGCATAGGCATAAAGGAAGGCCAAAAAACACATGGAGAAGAGAGCTGGAGAATGAAGTTAGAAAGATGGGGAGAGCTCCATGTAATGGCGAAGGATAGAACGACTTGGCATGAGTTGGTTGAGAGCCTATGCTCCATTGGGGGATAGAAAGGCAGAAGAAGAGAGACTGATCCAGACATGTTTGTTTATCTATAGGAGAAAGGCAAGATGGACAAATAATTATCTTAATGCTGCTAGCACCATCAGAATTGGAATCACACCACCTGCTGAAGATGGGGACACAGTGCTTATGGGAAAGTCCTGAATGTAATGATATCAGTTCATAACTCAGCTCAAGTGTACTGGTCCAGAAAGACCAGTTTCTTTATTGTTTTGTTCTTCTAGGGCAGTGGTCTCTGCCTTTTTCAAAGTCCATTAGTAGATGGACAACCATAACTTTCCACTGGAGCGTACAGCTAGGGAAAGCTAAGAAGAAGAATGTCTCTTGTGAATTTGTTCCGTCTGGTGATCTGTTCATTAATGAAACAGTGAGAGCATGGTTTTGTGAAAGAGAAACTTTAAATTGCCATCTTTTTTTTCTAGACTTGCACCATTGCAATAGTGAAAAACATTGATGTTTACTTCCCATTCCTCAACTGTATGGAGGCCACCAACCAGCAACCCAGGACTGCAGCAGAGCAGGTTTGTGATCCTGTGCTCTTTCTCAGCAATTTAAATCTGCTGATGTTGTCTTCTTCTAACAAGAATGCCCTGGTACTATCCGCCACAGCGGGCCACACTAAAACTTTGCAACAGGTATAGAACGAGAGGAAGACCTCGGAAAATATGGAGTGATGGTATTAAGAACAGCCTTACAAAAATGAACATCAGTCTTAATAGTGCTCTTGACAGAGCCCATCAACGAACATTACATCTCCCCCCGACACTTCGATGAGCTACATGATGGAAGAGAAGAAAAAGAAGAAGATGTTGTCTTCTTACTTGTATCGCTTGTCTGCCTTTTGCTTTTCTGCTTTTGACTTTTCCCTCCATTATGGTTTTTGAAAGTGTTGTGTCTTTCAATGTGATCTATCTGTTTCAATTGTCTCTTTAAAACAAAAAAAATTCTCAACTTATTTTGCGGAATAGACTTGTAGCAATTGTAACCAAAAGAGCACTATTCTGTACATATTTTTACCAAGTGTACATTAACAATGAAGGAAAGAAAAAAAAAACCAGAACATCGAAACTGCAGAAATTGAATGTCTATAGCGAATCTTAAATGTAACTAGAAGGGACAGGATCAGAAATGACAATAGTAGAAGATATGTTAAGACAGAACCAATATGAAACTACATCACGAGACAACAGATCAAATGGTTTGGACATGTGTTGACACTACCACCAGACAGTGCACCACAGAGAACCCTTTCACTTGAACATAAGGGAAGCAGAACCAGAGGTTGACCACTGAGGTGATGGATAGATAGATGGAATAGCTGAAGCTTTAAATACCAGCCTCTGCGTTGCACATACCAAGGCTGTCATCTGATTTTTCTTCCAAACCTGACGATGAAAGGCTGAAAGGACGAAAGAAGAAGAAGAAATATGGCCCATTCTTTCAGCAGCTCTCTTTTTTTTTTTTTTTTTTTTAATTCCCAATTTCATTAGAAAAATATAATCTAGACTACAATCTGCAAATAAAGTATGCATTGCCCTTCAGCATCTGCTAAAGTCAAAATCTCTGTCTCCCAATGCCAAGATCAAAATGTATAAAAAGTTGATAAAGCCAGTAGTTTTATGTGGCTCTGAAACTTGGAGCATAGCTTAGAGAGATGACACCCTATTACAAATTTATGAAAACAGAGTCTTACAACAAATTTTTGGACCTATCAAAGATGCAAACAGCGGGAATTGGAGAGTGAGAAGCAACAACAAAATTTATAATGTGTTTAAATCACCATTGATCACTGGCATCATGGGAGCTAATAAACTGAAATGACTGGGGCATATTAAAAGAATGTCACATGACAGAGGGATATGAATGATCGTAGAGCACGAGGCAGACCAAAAAGATGATAGAGAGATAATGATTCCCCGTGTGGGTTCCGGGGCCCCATCGTGGGGAAAACAAGAATAGACCCTCTGCCTACCCAAAAGCATGTCGTAAGAGTCGACTAATTGGGGAGCTTCCTTTGAAGTCGGAGTGCATCTGCCTGAGAAGCAAGGAACCAACAGTCCGCATTCAAGTGAATCAGATCTGTAAAACTGATGCACACGCAACACTCAGGTTCTGGAGCAGGACTGCAGTTCAGAAGTGGACGAACAACCAGAACTTTCCACCAGAGAGTACAGCTGGTGAACGCGAAGAAGAAGAAGATAATGCCTAGACAGACCTGCAAACACTTGGTGTCACCAACTGAAAAGAGAAAGCCAACCAGAAATATCACTGGAGGCGAGTGATATCTGTAGCAATGAACCTGAAGGGCTCAGAATGCTGAAGAAGAAGGAGAAGAATTTCTTCAGAAACTCTATATTTAGTTTGATTATTTCCATCATGAGAGTTTTAAATTCTGATTATCAAACTCTTGCCTTATGACCTTTTTGAGTGAACAGTTGAGCTGTTTTTTTTTAATGAATGTCTTTTACCTGACATTTCAGTGTGCTACCCAGTTTAAAGTGCCTCTGAACGAGATTTTAAATTGCACAACTTCCGACTACGGCAACCAGCTGGAACATCAAATGGCCCTCAAAACTGATGCCCTAGTTCCACGTCACAAGTATGTTCCTTGGGTCACACTCAATGGGGTAAAGAATCTTCTGATTTGTGTTATGTCTTATATGTTAATACTGCATACACATATTATAGGGGCGAATTGTTTATGCCATTTTGCCTAATGTTTTGAAGGTTGGGGGTTCAATTTCTGATTGTTTCTTTTGATTCTTGAGTGCATGTGTTGGGAGATTCGAAGGGGGTTTCTGGAAATGTTGAGTTTGTACTTTGGACAATGCTCTTGCTCTTTCATAGAAATCCTAACCTGCCCAGTTCTTGGTGACCAAACTGGCCAAATGACATTAGCTTTGTTGCCCCGGAAATGCTTAAAAAAAAGGGGCATGGCCATGTTGGAATTCCTGAAACAAAATCCTTAAAAACTATTTGTAGAGGTCACTTAACTCTTTCAGGCCCATGAATTTTGACAGACTTGGCTCACAATAATTTACCTTTACAAAAATGGCAAAGGGGGTGGTGTGAAATCATTACAAGAGCACACAGAGTCACTCAGCTGAGGTCTCTCCAAGAAGAACCCACATCTCTGTCTGGTCAGTTGATGGTCTGAGTCATGTGTGACTGTAATGGGTTAACTTTTTTTTTCTTCTTCTGCCTTCTATCCACAAATGGAGCATAGGCACTCGGCCAGCTCAAGTAATTCTGTCCTTTGCTCTTGCATGTCCTCCCCACCTTTTTAGCGTCACTCTCTAGCATCTTTCTCGATGTGTTTTTGTGGTTTGCCTTTCCTTCATTCCTCTACTGTTCTTCCTACATTGTACAAAGTTCTAACTTTTGAGGTGCCAATTCTGGAGATTTTCTTAGGTAAAAGGAGGTATGTTGATGGACCAAACTCCTATTGGCTTTCTCCGCACCAGGATAATTTTTATATTAGGAGAACCTCCCCTCAACTTAGTTGGCTGGGTTTTTTCTTGTTTCTCTTTTTTTAAACTTTTTAGTGGTTGGTAAGCTTTTGTGGCTAATATTTTTGCATGATGAGATAGCAAACCCCAAGCCCAACCCTGCCCTTAGTCGCTTCGCCTGGTAGGGTTCATTGTTACTATTTTTTACTTCCCGTGAGGCCCCGTGACACACGGGCGAGCTTCACTGTAGTGAAAGACTTTTGATTGCAGATGCAGAGTTGTAGCTGCTTTATTTGCCTGACTTTGTTATTTTGTAAGTCTTCTTTTTCTTTGCATTCACCATCTGTAAACCCTGATGGGAAGTTCTGGTTGTTTATCCACTTCTCGAGTCAGTCTTATTTTCAAAGAAAGACAGAATACAAAATCATGAAATCAGACGAACGCTAGGAATAAAGCCAGTCTTACAGGTCATCAAAGAAGAACAAATGAAGTAATTTGGACACCTTACAAGAATGCCCTGATACTATCTGCCACAGCGAGCCACATTAAAATTTTACAACGTTTATAGAGCAAGTGGAAAAACTCGGAAAAAATGGATATGGCATTAAGAACAGAACAGCCTCACAAAAACGAACATCAGTCTTAATAGTGCTCTTGACAGAGCTCATCAGCGGACATTACATCTCCCCCCTCAATACTTCACTGAGGTACAAGGTGGAAGAGAAGAAGCAGAGTCGTTTTTTTTTCTTCCAGAACTTGTGATTTGCAGGTTTATTTGTGTAGAAACATTGGTTCCTCACATCTTAGGCATACACACTCCAACTTGAAGAAAACACCCCTAGCTAATTAGTTGACTTTCATGACATGCTTGATTTGATTCAAGAACCGACATCTTAGCACTCGGGGCATTCCCATAAGCGCTCCGTCTCCATCTTCAGCAGCCAGCGAAGAGTCCCGCTACTAATTATGCCAGTAGCATTCTGATTAAATGTCCGTCTTGCCTTTCCTCTGAGCCTTGAGCATCTGCCAGAACCTCTCGTCACTCCCCGCTGCATCAATCTCACCAGACTGTGGTGATCCATCTGCTGCTCTGAACTGTACAGGCTTTCCCACAAGGCACTAACCACGTCTGCCTTATCATGTATCAGTATTCCACCAATTTGTGCAGAGCCAGCCAGTCTGTCCGCCTGTTCATTTCCCAACACACCGGTGCGCCCCGGTGAAAAAATCCAGACAGTACTTCTCACCCGTGTTCTCTGCAGCGAAGCATGCCACTCTGCATGCTTGTCAGTGGGTGGTGGGTCTGTTTTTTCCCTTCACACAATGGGGCCCTGGAGCCCACACAGGAATTGTTATGTGTTTTTATGTCTTTGAAACGAAAATGATAAATCTCTTGTTTCATGTCACCAGGTTCACACAGAAGCCATTCAATATGAAGCACAATATAATCTTAAAAAACTGCTATGTGATGCATATCAGGTGAGCAAAGGTTTACGTTGAAAGAAGGTTGCACCAGGTTTGATCATATACGTTTCAATCTCTAGCATCCATGTGTGGTATCCGGGACGCCATTTTCAGGGCAAAAGAATCAACCCACTGTCCTCCATTACAAGCATGTCATAAAAGTCAGCTAATTAGGAGTGTTTTCTTCAAAGTGGGAGTGCATCTGTCTGAGAGGCAAGGAACCAACAGGCTGCATACAATTAAGCCAGATCTGAAAGACACATTCCTATTTGTGACCCAGACGGGACTCAATGTCTAGCATGACTGATGTCGAATGCAGAAGAAGAAGAAAGACACATGTGCCTGGACATCAAGACCAAAGTCCAGCAAGGGACAAACAACCAGAACTTTCCACCAGAGTTTACAGCCAGTGGGAGTGAAGAAGAAGATCCCTAGCAAAATGGCTAGCTGCCTGAAAAATGCATCACACAAAGCCCAAGTTTGTACATGAAGGGCAAACTAACAGTAAAAATCCACAAGACCCCATCAGCAGATAACAGAAAGCATCATACAACAATTTTCCGTCTACAAACAGAACACTTCAGGCTCAACTACCACGTGCATAAAATAAAGATTGTACAGTCCCCACAGTGTGCCTGCCAGACAGGACCACAAACACCTGAACACATTGTGCAGACCTGCTGACTCTACCTGCAACTTTGAAAAAACACCTGGCCTCAAGAGCAGAGTGTGCAGAGCAAGCTATGGGGAACCATGAAGAACCTGCTACTAACATGCGAGTTCATAGAGGCAACCCACCTGATGGTCTGATCTAAGCATACAACACTGAATGCAAAGAAGAAGAAGTACATAAAGGGGATATTACAAAATGAAATAAGTGCAAGAAGGCATTTGGAAAATAGGATTAGAAAGAAGTATAAACAAGGTAAAAAAATAAATAAATAAATAAATAAAATATAAAAATAATTGCTGTATTGAATATTGATCCCTCAAGGACTGAGAACAAACACCAAAACTGTGAATGAAACTATTTTCTAAGTAGTAGCAGCTGGTTTGATGACGGGAGCAAGATTTTATAGCAGTAATTGAAATATCCCGGAGTGTTGCTGACGACATCACCCACCAAGTGCCGATTGGCTATAAAAATATAGGTCTAGCCCTATGTTCCCGGTTTGCCTGAAGGGGTGGAAAAGGGTCCTTTAATTGAAATATCACTTTTCCCCCGAAGTCGGAGTACATCTGCCGGTGAGGCAGGGAACGAGGACTGCAAACAAATAAGCCAGTAAAACGGATGTACACGCAAAACTCAGGTCGAGTTAAAAGCCAAAAGTCCATTTGGACGAACAACCGCGACTTACCGCCGGAATTCATAGCCGGTGAACAAGAAGAAGAAGAAGAAGAAATATCACTTACAGCTTGGTGTACAGAGCTATTAAAATGGAGAGGGAGAAAGGTTACCCATTAACAAGCATCAAGAGGCAGTTGGGTCAGGACAAGCGCTCATATTGGTCAAGACTGATCTACAACTCTCCAAGGTCATCCTAGAAACAGATCCCCAACCGCTGGCCTGGTCATTATAAATAGGATTGACATTTCCTTTGAAATGGTAATGCATCTGCTGAAAAGGTGAGGAACCAACAGTCTGCACACAAATAAGCCAGATCTGTAAAATGGATGTGCATGCAAAACTCAAATCCTAGAACAAAGACCAAAGTTCAGAAGTGAATGAACAACCAAGACCTTCCGCCAGAGTTTACAGCTGGGATTGCTGAGAGGAAGAAAGAAGAAGAAGAAACTTTCATTTATGGCCTGAGATATTCTTTCTATCGATCGCTTGCATGGTCAACCTGTAATTCTGCTTTTATTGTCTTAGAGACATGGCTCTAAGTGATGCACTATCTGGTGATAGTCTTAACACATGTCTGAACCATTTGAGCTGTTGTCTCTTGACTTAGTTGTTTAGAATAGAGTCCGGTGCAACGACGACCCAAATTTGCCAGGAGACAGAGTGTTGTATCAACAGCAGAACAGAACAGTCTTTTTACTGAAATTCACATTGAACATAATTTTGTATTTAAAATTGTGTGTATTTGTTTTTTTAATAGTAACACTTTGTTATTTTTTTCTAGGGTGTAAAACCCCCAGCATGCAGCTCTGTATAGTGACTAATGCACTTACGATGGCCTTTGCGAACAGAAAATTACAAATGATTCTCGAAGGATTATTTATCTATATATAAAAAAAATGTTTGTGTGTTTGTTTATGAGCTATAGACTCGGAAACTACTGAACCGATTTAGCTGAAATTTTCAGGATATGTTTGTTTTGATACCGGATGTTTACCCATCATGGTTTGAAATTCAACCTCTCATTGTTAGAGATAGGTGACCACAATTTTTGGAAAAATCTTCGAAACTAATATTTCTATTTTTAGTGACATTTAATTATAGCCACGTTAGTAAATGCGCATGCGCCATAGTCAGAACGCAAGACTTCCACCATTCGCCGGCGAGATACGTACAGTCAACGCCTGCTCTAATAAATAGAGTAGGCCATGGTACAGCAAACAAGACCATCTCTATATCTGTGCAGGCAATGATTGCCACAATAACCATATTAGAAACTATTTCTATTTTTAAACAAACTTCAATGAGTTGGAGAGTAGCCGATGGATTGGGAAAGGGGGAGAGGGGGGGCATCAAGGACTATCTCGACGTCTGTGCAGACAATGACTGCGACATTAACCGTGTTAGACACGTGCCATTTCTATTGTGCCGTTTCAATAATATATCTGGAATATCTGTCTATGAGAAAACAATTGCCTGCGGTTTTGAGTTGTGTTATAATCGGGACACAGTAGTAGGAACACATATCTCAAATAGTTTTGTTATCTTTTCGCTGTTCCGATGGAGTGGTTGCTTGGTGGAATGGTTAGAACACTGAGCTCCTGTGCGGGAGACCAGGGTTCGAATCCGCAGTGGGGGGGTTTTTTTTTTTACCCGGAGCAAAATAAAATCCTCACCTGCACTGTCATGGTGACATCACTAGCCATGTGGCCCTTAATACTTAAAAAAAAAAAAGGACAGGTATGTGGGTATACCAGTTGATAATTAAATTTAACCATTTCGCATACTTATGATTTCATTTTAAACTTTCCAATTGCATGGTTATGCTGAAATTTCATGGCTTTCCATTTATTTTCATTTAGATTTTATTATTTAATCTGCGTTGGAATTTTAAGCTGTGCTGTCTACCATAGCGTTCATTTCCTAATTTTTCCTGTTTTCATTGTTTTTCAATTGTTTTTTTTCCCTCCCAACTACTTCAATGAGTGAAAGAGTAGTCGGTGAGGGGGGGGGGGGGGGGGGTTGGAGCACTCTTTATTGAGAGAGCTTTAAGTCACAGTAACTGCCTTACCCACTCAAAGTAGCAGCAGCAGTAGTAGTTGTGGTTGGGCGGTTACACCGTAGTGCTCTCATGCGAAGACCGCCGGTAAGGTTATGGCGTTCTTCTGCCGGGGAGCGAAATTATACATCCTAACCTGACCAGTCCATGGCAACAGCACTAGCCATGCGGCGCCAAATCTTCTGGCTCACGACTCCCTGTCTACTCCTATGGTAAAACAGATAGCAGTGACATTATTTTAGCTATTGTGGTGGTGGTAGTGGTAGTAGTTGTACTGGTACTTGAAGGGTGATGTTGTAAATATTACGCTAGCCCCATTTACTACCTATTACAATTCCTGCTCCCCATTTTAGTCCAGATGGACAGGGATGTCAATGTCAGTTACAAAAAAAAAAAAACACACCAGGTGATGATTTTCAAATCCTTCAAAGAGGGAGAGAGCAGTAGTCGGTGTAGGGGGGGGGGGGTAATGACTGAAATTGTTAACTTAAAGAGCTTAACATATGATTTTAAAGTTCTCATTAGTTAATTTGTTTATATTTTACTAACGCTTCCTCCGCTATTCTAATTTTTTTACGGCTTACTTTGTTATTTACAAGTACAGTAGTAACTTTACTTCAGTCTCCTATAAAAATACAAACAGCTTTAGCATGTGATAAACAAATAACCATTTTTGTTACTGTGCTAATAACACCATTTAAACGACCACTAATATAAAAACACAATTTTATGGTGCGTAATCTAAAGTTGGAAAACCAGACTATCTCTACATCCGTGCAGAGAATGATTGCGACATTAACTATATTAGAAACGTGCGATTTCTATTGTCTTTCTTTTCCAAAAACCTTTTAATGGGGGGGGGGGGGGGGGGGGGGGGGGGGGGGATCAAAGACTATCTCTATATCTGAGCAGACAATGATTGCGACAATAACCATATTAGACACATGCAATTTCTATTTTCTTTCTTTTCCATTTAGCTAAACTATGCCACAGCAACACGTGGCCGGGTACAGCTAGTTATTTATAATGATTAATTTGCAAAGAGTCCTGCTTTATTTTTTTAAAATAGAAATAATATGTAATTCTTTAAATCTGTGTTTTATATTAATACATATTTCCTCTCTCCTGTTGACTTTGTTATGTGTTTGATTAGTTTGTTGTTTTGTCTGTTAACTGGTGTGTATATAACTGGTGTGAAAATAAAAGACGGACGTATAACAGAGAGTGAAGCCTAAGTCCCATGACTGCATGCAGCCTATGATATACGCTGCATAGTCATGTGACCTAGGCCGCATGCAGTCGTGGGATTTTTGGTGTGGCGGAGGCTGTGGGGTAGGGGGGTTATGGTTAGGGCCAATTCTACATGTTTTTTGACCATTAAAAGCTCTCATATCGTGGATTATAGAACACAATATTGTCGTCCGCCGACAGCAACAAGTAGAATACGACATATTGCTGGCTGCTCACTAAGCATGACACCCCTGCAACATAGGACAGGCTCTGCGACACAAGGAGGCATGCATGGGAAGGAAAGTCATTCTCTTTCTGGGGTGGAAAACCTTACTATAATCGCCTGTTGTGCCATTGGTGTAAAAGAAAGTATGCTTTACTTATTTACTTAACTCTTTCAGTCTCAAATAATCTACCATGTGTGACTGGATTTACTCATACAAGGTCCGGCAATTAAGTAATGAAACTGATTTTATTATGGCCAAGACAAAAATGTCATCTTTGAATCAAAGCATGGAATCCAAAGAGGCAACATTTGTCTATGATCTGGCAACTTTTTATCGCCACCCGTTAAGCAGACAACAAACAAGCCGCCATTTTGTTAACCTAGTCAAAAGTGCATTGTTACGTCAGCATGGAGCAAAAAAAAAAAATAAGATAAATTTTATTTCTGTTTACAATTCAGAAAAAGCAACAGTTGATGCGACAAGTTTATGGGGATAATGTTTATCTCATGCACAGATTTTCAGCTGGTATTCATGATTCAAATGTGATATGGAAATGATTACTAGTGTAACTAGACCTGGACGCCCTGTTTCTGTTCGTAATGAGGCACTCATTGCAAAATTCAGAGAACAGATACAAGATCGCTGTTTGACTGTGAGGATGATGGTAGATGAATTTAGTGTTAATACAGAGACTGAGAAATTTCAGTGCTAGATTTTGGCAAAATAAAAAATTCTTGTTGTTTTGTATTCAACACATGGCAATTTTTTTCCTTCTTCATGACAGTGCACCAGCTCAAAGGGCAGTAGTTGTACAGGAATTTTTGGCCCTAAAACAGATGCAGGTTCTCAACCATCCACCCTATTCCCCAGATTTGTCTCCCTGCTACTATTTTATGTTCCCAAAATTAAAGTTGCATTGAAAGGACGCTTCTTTGACAACATTGATGGCATCCAAAATGCTGTAACATCGACTTTAAGGGCCAAAACGATAGAAGAACTGCAGAGGTCGTGCCAGTGTTTGTTAGATCGTGCCACTCGCTGTATCACTGCACAAGAAGATTACTTTGAATAAAATACAGGTTATATTTTCAACTGTTGATTATTTTAATTTTTGGGAAATTAGTCTCATTACTTAATTGTCGGACCTTGTATGCACCAGTTTACATTTTATTGTACTTGTACATTTTTGTTTAGTTGGGTGGTCATGCTAAAAAACTCAACAACACATTTGTCTCCAACAAGGGATGTGTCTATGGATACTGGGTGTAGTATACCCATTATTTTTCTTATTTTATTTAGATGTTTACATGTTTTAAGCATAAAATACTGTAATGAACACTTTGTGGTGAGTACCGGCATCTCCTTTTTTTTTCTTCTTAAAGCAAAGTTCTTTGTTTCAGTACAGTATTTTTTGTTTCGTATGTTTGCCCTTAAAAGGACACTTGATTTGCTGTGTTGCAATTTACAGACAGTATGATAACCAAGAGAAGATAAAATGGTTTGGCCACGTTATGAGAATGAATCCTGATATACCTGCCAAAACAGCTCTCACATGGACACCAGAGGGAAAGAGAAAACAGGGGCACCCAAAAACAACATGGAGACAAACGATGGAAAGTGACCTGAGTGAGGCATCTTTGACATGACAAACTGCACTGAAGATTGCACAGGACAGGAAAGCGTGGAAAGTCCTCTCTGAAGCCTCATGTGCCACTAGGCATAACGAGAACTGATGATGATGAATTTACAGCCAGCCTTTGATATGTACGCGACTGACTTTTTTTTTTTTTTTTTTTTAAATAGCCTTTGCTCCCAGATCAACCCAGCCTTGAATGGGTACCAAGTGGAGGCTTGGGAAGTAAAGGTGGCCGGCATTATGCTGACCACATCACCCTATATGACCAATACACCTGAAGACGCGGAAAGGGTTCTTAAGCTTTTATTTTACTTTGATATCTACAACTTTCAGCCCAACACATCAGATTTCAACAAAACCTTGATTTGTCACTTTTCAATGTTTGTTTGTTTTAGTATCCAGAAGCCATGAGTTGTTAATGTTAACCCTTAGGCTCGGTATTATGGATATCGCAACCTTTCGGCCTTGATTCCATTGTAAATACCGTAAATCTGGGAGAAATGTGGCTTTTCTGCCTACCCCCGGGAGTGAACCCGGACCACAAGGAGTTTGTCACCCGGTCACCGTGCAATCCGGTTTAGCCAACTACGCTAGAGAGCGGGGCAGTCACTTTTCAATCAATCAGTCTTCGCATTCACATTCACCGGCTGCAAACTTCGACAGAA